GCCTTATCCCCGGGGTCGGCGGCAGGGGGCGGAGCCCTTACAATATATTCCTCAAAGATCTCAAAGCTCGTTCTCGCTTTGACTTGAATCACTGGAATCTGTCTGGATCTTCTTGAATTGGATCGTATCCCTAAGGCGGGCAAGGTACAACTCTGCGAGCACATCCGCGACGGGGTGCTCCAGCTGGTCTGATTCTGCAACCAGGACCTGTGGGTGGCAGCTAGAGTTTTAAGGTCAGCGAGAGCAATTTTGACAAGTTTGGTGATCAAAGCAGCCACCTTGCTGATACCCTGCGTCGACGCCCCAGCTTTTGCCACTTCTCCACAGCCTGCTTTTCCCAGGGTTTCCGCGCGCAATGCGCCAGTCTGCATCAATGGCAACTTTCGGGCCGGGCCTTTCCCAGCCACTAAAAGGTCCACACTGGTGCAGCCGGGAAGCTTCGACCTGTCACATTTTTCTGTCATATTAATATCTATTAAGGACCTGTATGCATCGGCTCACGGCAATGAAATTACACGAGCAAGCTGCATGAATTCAAAACTCTTGCACCGAGTGTTGCACGCTGCAGTCACAGCATGCAGGGTTGCCTGAAACTTGCAACTTGCAACGATTTTCTCAGGTCTGAGGTTTGAGGATGCCTGAGGCAATAACTTATGAAGGCTAAATGGAGGGTGTGTGGAGAAAGGGGGTCAGCAAGAATCACTTATACGAAGTTAGTGCATCAAAAATACCTTCCACGAAGTTCTGCGAAGGTTTCTGGGATTTCGTTGCAGTCAGTTCTCCTACTGGCCCACCATTCCACGATCTGTCCACGAATAGCCTTGGGTTCTACGAATGTCCCGCGCCTTCCACGATGTTAGTAGAACCGGTTTTTGCAAAACCCTTTCTGTGCACTACCCTTCCGGTTGCCTCTGAACTTAGTTTGATCATGTTTCTCAAAACTCGTACTTCATCTCCATTTCGCCCAAACCCAAAAAGGCCACATGCAAGCTGGGTGCTTGATGTGCGCTGATTGATGCTGCTTGCCAAGCCCCCATACTCTTTGGATTTCTTTGGCATTTGAAGCCGAGTGAGCATGCGTGAGGAAGGCCCAACAGTGTATAGCGCTCCAAGTAGGCTAGATGCCTTGATATGCCTTGATGCCGAGTTGGCATGTTCCATTTGTGTTGCTCGACTATGAGTTTGGTGCAAGCGAGAGAGCGAGAACCTTGGAGTGAGCAAAGGATTCAGTAAGTCTTGCAACGACGAGACGAGAGGTTTGCATGGAAATTGCGTGGCTGACAATTTGCCTGCTAGCTGCTAGTTGCTTTGTCGCAGGACTCCAGGCTCCAGGCTTCAGTGCCTAATATGGTTTCTGTTCTCAGCTGTGCTCCTTGAGTACTTTAATGCCTTTTAGCTTGGATCTGGCAAGAGCTACAGCATGCATGTCTTGCAATCTCAGAGCTTCCTGCAGGTGGGAGCCAGCCCACGCTTCTTTGTCAGACTATATCGGTGGAAACTACTTTGCAACAACACAATTTCCCTGGCTGCTTGGTCCTTGAGCATTTCTCCCAGTAGCACAGTGGCGAACTGCAAACTATCATCTAGTGGGTCTAGTCTAGTTGTAAATCATTGTTGTTCGGACCTTACACGGATTCCATCTTAGCCTGTTTCAATGGCAAGTCCGATGCCCAACCATGCATGTACCATCTATTTCTTGACGCTTAGTAGTACGCTGGTTCCATCCTCGAGCTGCATTACATTAGCTGTGAAAACTAGCTGTTCATGCTTGTTAGCCAGCAGTCTTGTTCATGTTCAACTTGTCAAACACACTCCACAGGCCAAAGCTTGGCTAAGGGAAACAAAGAGACACCTGTTTTCCAAGGTCTACACCTTGTTGAGCGACTTGTTGTTGTGCTCCGCCACTAGCAGCGTAGCATAGCCTCCACAAGCGCAAAGCAGCACGCAAACAGCACGTACTGCGAGTGCATAGCCATAGCATGATGAATAATGGCATGAAGCTAGGTTGGAGGCCATCGCTAGTATGCGACATGGCTCCTATGTGCCTCGATGAGAGGCATTATGCAAGGCACGGCCGAGACGGCCCAACGTCGCCATTCCTCACTTCACAAAGTGACCCAAAGACTCAGACACAAATTTCAATAAGGGAGATCATGGATCAGTGCCCAGCACAAGCCTTGTTGGAAGCGAGTTGACAAATATTTACAAAATGCTGGGAGCCACATGAGCCACGGTCAAAATAAAGTGCGGAACTTGGGCGTGCCAGGTAGGCATCCGGCATCCACTCACAAGGACAAGGTACAACACACCTAGTGAAAAAGACCTCTATCGCTTTGCACTTTTTGCACGGTGTTCATAGAATGCCACTGCAAAAGACCTCTTGGACACTGCGTAAGATTTCCAACCTGGGCTGATGCTTCCCCAAACCTCTGCAAAATTCTCTAATGCTCATTCTGCGACGGCCCTCTGCGCACTTTTTCAAGCGACGCCCACTTAATCGACCTCATTGTCGAACGCGTTTGCCTGTAGAACTCAAGTCGACTGCCTGCGCGACAAAAATCATAAAGGTCATCAAAATGGCCTCAAAACTGAAACTCACAAAGCCTGAAAGTGTGTTATCATTCGCAAACTTCCCTCATCAAACAACCCTTTAGCCACACATTAAGTCCCATGGCCCAGCAGTTTGTATTAGTTGAAGAAGGAATGAGCAACATGATAGTCAGTTGAACTTTACACTTGGGAGGTTGCTCTACCGCGATCTTCTGTGGGATATCTCTCTGGACATAGGTGCGTGCTGCCAGGCTGCCAGACTTACTGCCATGATACTGGATGGATACCAGGAATTGCTGCTACGGCAAAAGTGTTTTTGTTCATCAGTCGGGTCTGTAGCTGTAGCGGCAAAGCCGAGTGAGCGCATCGCGTCTCAATTAAAGTTGAACATCAGGAAAAAAAACAAAACACAAACACAGCTACCGGCAATCCTTTGTTTAAACTATGCAATTCTAGTTTTAGCTGTGCTATGTTATACTATAGTTATATATATACTGTAGTCAGTAGTCGTTATATAGATGCTACGATAGACTGCGACATCCAACAATCCCAACATCCTTGTGAGCTGTATCTGCCAATCTACACACACATCACATACGTCAGTTCCTCTAAAAACAAAAAACCTTTTGAGTGACACTGTGCAACGCTCTTGCGCTTTAATTTTACATGAGGAGTTGAAATCTTTACTCAGTTGCATAATTACTATGTTTGCTGTGACTCTACTCTCCGGTAAAGTGCTAATGAGTTCTGCAGATGTGAGCGCTCGTCGTCATTTTGTGGTTTCCGGCTTTGGACTTTGAGATAGCCTCCTTCTTTTCTGCAATGACCTCCAGGATGCTCAGATCCCCTTACATGCTTTACTCAGGAACTTGTTTCATCTTTCTTCACCTAGGTTGCTGTGTGGCAAGTGGCTTTCAATTCAGTACGCAATATCCCGAGTGTGTGACATATCTACTACCAAGTGGAGATTACATGTACTCTACAGTAATTACACAAATAGTAGATGCGATGTTTCTATGTATATAGTGATGTGTTGTTCACATTTGTTCACAAACAAACATACACTACGTGGCATGTAAAGTTGTACTGTACTTGAAGTTGTGTACGAGTGCCTTCAAACAGGCGCTGCCTCTCCTGGCCTGCGGATTGCCATCCTTGTTGAGAATCAAAGTAAAGCTGACCCAGTCACCTTCACGAAAGCCAGCGATCTGCTGATGATGCACCCAGCAGTCCTGACGGAAACATCAAGTACTAGACTCAGACTGTACGATATATTATATGCTACTGCACTCGCGCACTATCAAGCGCGTATGATCGAGGAGTGTACTGCGCTCACTGGTCCAGGAAACATAGGAAACAGGACTCGACACTGTCCTTCCCGAAAGCTGCAAAGATCTTCTCACATTTGAGAAAGCCATACATGCCTCCAGGCCTGGCGTTTGGACGCTGGACGCAATGGATACGCATGGACATACATGTTGCGATTCAGTAAAAGCTCAATACTTGACCAGCCGCGTGAGCTTGTCAGTTTGTTCAGGTTGTGCAATACTTTTTGCAGAGCAGTACTTGGAACGAGGAAGATAAAGTATCACGTGTGCCCAAATGATTCAGAGAAAGCTGCAAACCCTCTCCACTGCAGCTTTGGAAGGTGCCTCCAAGCCGTGATGGTTCCCCAATGACGACTCCCAACCAAATCAGAATCTTGAACTGGAGTGAGATCTTGCTGCAGTCGCTTTCGTGCCCCAATCCTTGGCAAGAGAAATAAACCAGTAGAGTTTTGAAGCGACAGCAGATTTGTGTCTCACTTGATACTCTAAGCAAGCAGGTCACGGACCAGGCAAATTCTTGGCGGCAGGTTGCTCACGACTTGCAGTCTTGTGTTCTGCACCTCCAGTGCAAACGATGTGGAATGAGTATCACTGTTTTAAGTTTGTATTGACAGCCAAGCAAACAAAGTGACGAGCGCAATGATGAAAAAGGAATCCCAACTAACATCCATGAAGACCTCATTCAGAGGAGGAAATGGAAGAAATAAAAGAACTAACGAGGTCAGGCAAAGGCCTCAAGGAACATTAGGAAGAAAGGAGTTGATTGGCAACGAGGCCCGACCAGCCTGCCGCCTTTGGAACTGCAGGCACATATCTGAACAGGGAAGCAGAACGAGACTATCTGAATCGTCAGAAGTGGACTGGATATTCTGGAAATACCAAACAAGAAATCGCATGCTTTGCTTGAACATACCAGATCAGTATGTTCCAGTTGACACAATGAAAAAACCTAGCCTGAAACAAAACGGATTTCTGTTTGACAAATTAATACAACAATGGCTGGCTGTAGTATTGCCTTCCTTTCGGACCAAATGCACCTTGTCTGCATTGGTCGGCGTGCCTGAAAAATGCTGGAGCGCAAAAACAGTGTCTTTTTTCTGTGAAACATTGCGAAACTAAACACGTTTAAACCAGTTTAGGTGAATCATAATGCACCAGGAACTGGAAATTGATGGAAATTGGGATTGCATACGTTGGCAATGTCTGCTTTGGTGACACACTTCGAAACTACAGCAGCGCGAAGAACGAAGCGATTTTCTGTTGCCAAGAGACTGGTACCACATGGCCTTTGGCACTTTTTAGGTCAATAGCTTGCCTTGGCTTGGAACAATAGGCGGCACTAGGAAGCATGTTGTCCCCTTTTTGTTGACCTTTACCTTGCCTTCTTCCTTCTGTTGCCCAGTCGGCTTCACGCAAGAAACCTTTCCAGAATGTAAGGGCAGCCAGAATGACTTCCTTTTCTACGCAGTGCTGTTTGAGCCGCGGTTGACCGTTCTTGTTGGTGATAGCAGTGAATGTCACAGTATCGCCTTGGAAACAGCCAGCGTTCCAACCAAAAGACCGAACAACGCAGGCCAAAAAAAGAACAAACAACTGTTCGCATGAAAAAACATGAAACACTCGAACCTGTGCGGCGCCCAAAGTGCAAGCTGAATACCTACTTCGAAGCTGTGAATCTGCTTGTGATGAACCCAAACGTTTTGCTGTGTCTGCTCGAAAAGCCTTAGCTCCACTTCCAACATTGGGGTTCTCTGATGGCCCTGGTTTGGTGCAATAGCAAATACAACCCGTGGCCCACATCACTATTGCTGAGATAGCCTAGACACTGCTGCAAAACTGCACAAAAAAAACACTCAAATTTAGAATCGCTGTTCTCTGATAAAATATGATAAAATTAACTGAGGTGAGCAACTCGGCACATTTGATGAAACCATAGAGTCCAGGCTTGAAATCTGAAATCGTGCCAGTATATCCTTAGTTCTGCAGTTATCGCTTCCGCTTGCATCTGGGGAACTACCTCAAAATCAACTGGGAATTTAGGAAAACAAATAAACCAGCGCCCCTTGGTGTGTCCACCTCTAAGTTCGCGCTTCTTGTTGAAATCAAAGGCGTGACCGCGTGACCTGGAAATTGTGCTAATGTACCAGATCGTGTAGAATAAGTTCAGCATAACGTTGTTAAGCTGACTGGAATTCAAAGGAGGTGTCACGTGTCCCTATGGTGAAACGTGTTGGTGCAAAACCAAAAGTGGCTGAGAGGTGAACCAAAAAAAACCGACATGTTTGTGCATTCTTGTGTAAGCAAGGCCACGTCCCAAGCAGAATTTGCCGACAAAAAGCAAGTCTAAGTGTATATAGCAGCGCTATAGCCTGAAACCTAATTACGGCAAAAAAGGCGCTTTCCTTTTTCCTGACAATTCTTGGAACCCCAATCAACTTGGAAACCAAATCGACGATAGATCGTACTGTTTTCTGAAATATTCTGAAATCAGGTACTTTGTCAGTTGGAGGAAACCTTGTGCTGGAAACGCCACCGCTCGGAGCATCTTCAAACCCTCCTCCCACCCCACAACCGGACCAGGGAGAAATTGACCATCACCGAGTTGCCAAGTGGTATATACCACCCCTGTGCACCATGCAAAATCACCTTGTCACTATATATATATATATATTGTTTTTTTCTTTTTCGTTTTATACTTGTGGGCTTCCACTTCGCAACCTTCAACTCACCCTAGCCTGCCGGCTGGCTTTTTAGAAACGTCCAAAGCCCTGAATGCATGTGCATCAGTTTGTCCCCTTGAAGCCATGCATCTGTTTTCTGCTCCCGAAGCAGCCGCCTGGCATAGCCATCGAAAGCAAATCAATTTCAAAGGACACTCATCGTGTCTGCATTTCTAAGCCACGCAAAAGCTGGCTGAGACACGTTGGTCTTATATAATATTATATACTTATATTATACAGTAATGTCGTATTGTAATGTCCTTAACACCTCTTCAAGGAAACGTCTCCCAGCTTAGCGTCTTCTTCCTACTAGCTACATCCCACCCCCAAACAAATCAACAAGTTCTCTGTGTTCACCAAAGGCCAAGTTGTTTTGCATGATACACATTTTGCCTGCTCCTGAGCGTTCCAGCTTGCTTTGGGTGTCCAGACTTCACCGGCGGGAACCCAAGCCTGGAAATTGCAAAAGAGCATCAACACATGAGCCACGGTCAAAATCAATTATTTATGTTTAGGATGCTTTCTATCGTTATCGTTTTTTGGGGAGACCTTATCGGTTTTCAGCTTTTTGTTCAACCAAATGCTTTTGGCATTTGCATTTACATTGTGGATGCATGAAGCGGAGCTACCTACTCGCTGAAATCAGAAGCAGTGGATGGCGAGCTTGTTCACAGCTCGCTTGTCAGCAGCGGACAAAGGCATTGCAATCTCGAGGGGTTTGTGAAATTTGGTGTACCTGTCTCTATCTTAATATTTATCGGCCTTCTGTTGGCTGGGGTGTAAAATACTAACATGTAAGTTCTCAAAAAGAAAGGCTAGACCAATGTCTTCAATAAGGAATTAGCTGTCTTGTCAGCAGGCTCTGCTCTGGCCAAGTGGCTATGAAAGCTGAAAACATATCCTGACGGTTATCGGCGAGTTATCGGTTTCGTTATCGGCATCGTGCCCACATAGAATCCGGATTTTTCAAGAAATGGCTGCAGATTAGAAAAAGAAAGAAAACCAGCAACAAAAATATTGATTCCATATCATATGGCTGAAGCCGCCCACTAGGGTACTGTCAGTGGGGCTTTCATTCGACACGCAACAGGTACTGCAAGGATCTGTCAGGAATGATATTAAATACCATCAGACATAGGTTATCGGTTTTGGGGGGGACCTTATCGGTTTCCACATCCTCACCCTAAGCCATTCACATCGACCTCTCCGGACTAAAGTAGTCTAACTTATTTTGACCCCACCTCACATGATGCCCGGGCATGTACAAAATGAATCAAACTGGTACAGTGGAATGTACAGAAAGGCGAATGATTCACTCCATCGGGTTTTGTGTTTGTCCGTCAAAAACTTTGTCTAGTCTAGAGCATCAACATATTTGTTTGTCACATCTTCCTGGGTTTGTTATGCGCAGAAAAAAAACATGGCCTCAACAGGGCCTGATGGAGTGTCAGGGGCGGAATCATTGCTCCACCGTTTCAGGTCCGCTTCGGTTGGCTTAGTCCTTGGATGGGATAAACTTTATGTCATACATCTTTTCGCGATTACTATTACTACGATGACACGGGTAAGGATCCGTCATCCAACTGGCTACCATGGCAGGCATGAGGATGCAACCAACAATGCATTCAAACGTTGCCGGTCTTTGACAAACAACCATCTGTAATAGTAATTCAACATAACTCAGCATATCGATCTGAGTCTGAATCTGGAGATGCGCGTATTTTGTCATCTGCGAACTGCAGGTTCAACGTTGACTTCGATCATCAACACAACTACGTAGATGCAATATATGCAATCTCTTACATATTAGAACCGTCACATTGATAATTGGACTAAGCAACTTCAATTGTTCCACATCCTTGTCGCATCAACATATGGCCAAGTTGCAAGTCAAAAGCTTGAGGTTTGCCATCCTTGTTCAGCAATACTGCGAAACATACCTTCCATGTCAAGAAGTGCATTGTGAAAAAACACAAACCGTGTAGTGGAAACTGGAAACGGCATGTGTCTCAAAGAGTTTGGCCAAAACTCGCCTGATCATTTAGTTGGAAACTTCCCCTTTGTGCTGAATGAAGGAACACATCCATGCCTAAGTCGTTCAAACCAGTCCTGACTTCAAAGGACCAAAACATATTGCAGCACAAAAAGACTCGTCATAATCATAATTAATCATAATTCCAGCCTGCGCGTCGCCAACCCTGGTCACTGGGACGCTCACCAAATTGTTCGGTTGCTCCTTTCGACCGAATGAAGCTGTAGCCCTTCCTGAAATAAAGCAAAGCACACCTTTTCTAATCAATGGACCCTGTCTGTCTCTCCCTCTCTCTCTCTCTCTCTGTGCGAGCGTGCATGCAGTATCTGCCAACCCTCTGCAAAGCAAACGGGCGTGGCTTGTGGAGACGCTTGACTGGGACAACCACCTTTCGGTGTGATTGCTGCATCTTTGGTTCGCCGGCAAGTGTCCAGCCCTTTCCTGGGCTGAAGGCCCATGGTACTGCACGCATGTTTGATGTGGCTAGCCGTCTCTCTGAGCTCACAAGCTCGGTCTTCCTTGGATGGAATGTTCACCGCCCAAACCAGTTTGGGCTAAACAGTGGCTATATAACTACAGTTCTGGCGCCATCAAAGTTTCTGAGTGGAAATCCTGTCCGTTCGCGCAACGGCGGCCTTCACGCATATTAGCACCAGCCAAGATCTCAAGAAGAAAACTGCCTGCAGAGAGCCATGCAACCATGCATCGCCCGTGTCTTGTTCAACTTGCAACCGCCCTCTAGAATTGAAATGCGGCCGCTGTGGCCTGTGACTGGCTTTTGCGCACTGCATTCTGTGCAAGAACACTTTCGCAAGCTTTCGCGGACAGGTGCCAGAACTGATTTCGCAAGCTGCCACAAGCTTCCCAAAAGCGTTCGCAAGCCTTCCTGCAAAAGTTAACAGTTCACTTCCCTGGCCTTTGCGACTGTGCTTTTCTTTCACCGAAGACATCAACACCCTCAGCCTCTCTTGAACCTGTTACACCTGGGCAGTTTTCGCCGCAGCTTATGCGTAGGCCCTTCGCGCTCACGCGCCTGTACTTGATTGAGACAGGCGACTTTGGTTGGCCCCAATGCGTGTTGTCTGAGAGTCTGAAAAGCAACTTTCCATGAGCAACCCAATGTTTCTTCAGAGCGCAAAGAAAAGAAGCAAGCAAAGACAGACTCAGCGCACAAGAAGAGCAAGAGAAGGAAAAAGAGACAAGCGCCGAAAAGCGCAGAAAGTGAGAATGCTAGAGGGTTGCGCAAGGCTGAGAAGATGACTGGAAGAACTTTTGATTTAAGGTGAAGTTTTGTTCTCTATTTGCACTATCTGATCTATAATCCTTGTGCAACAAGTGATATTATCTTTTGTATGCTTTTGTCTTTTAGAATACAGAAACATCATTGCAATCTTGTCCTGAAAACATTCTGAGGAGACAGCATCGTACTAATGTCAAGTTGAACATGTTGATCTCAGTGCGAGAGATGGCAGCAGCGGCTACACTTGTCTTGCTACATTTATCTTCAAAGAACAGTGGACAAAGAGAAGGCGACCGCTTCTTTACAATCTGAGATTGCGAAAGAAACACAACGATGCATGTTTGATTGATGACTTTGTGATGAACCTAAATTGAAACTGAGGCGAACTTTTGACGCATTTCTGATGCACTTTTGAAGATGACAAGCGCGCCAAAAACTTTAGATACAAGCTCATGAACTTATGGTGCGCTGTTGACGCGCATCACAAACTCGCACGAGTTGATCATGATTCTTGAGTTTCAGCTTTGCCTCCAAGTTCCTGGTCGCTGGTTACAAGAGCTGCGGTCTTGCTAATGGGTTAGAAGGATTGAGATGGGCGCTAACACTTTGTTGAAGAGTTCCTTATACCTTCAAAAGACACTGCTGAAGTACTTCTAAATGGTTAAGAGGTTTATATTGCTTCGCTAATTCTGAAATTAATAGGTATGTTTAAATATGAACAACCTTTAGAAGAATTAGCAAATCTAAACCATGCCATGCTGCTGGTTGCTTGCCCACATCATGTGTTTTTGACTAGATGTGATGACATTTGGACAAACATTAACTTAGTTCGAACTGTTCGGAAGATTGGTTTTCACTTTTGACATTTTTGTGCCAACATATTGTCGGGAAGAACCTGCGTCATCCAGTGCGGCTCATACTTCATGGTTTGAGTTGCGTTACACATTAGCCTGCATACCTCGCGCAAATTAAAGCTTTTGTGGCTCACGAGTCACAAGCATGATTTGGCCTTTGTGGCCCGTTTACATTGGCACACGCTCTTTTTGCACACATGGTTTGCGCCCCCTTCAATAGTGTGGCTCACGCCTTTCTCTTCAGTGGTCAAGAAAGTTGGAACAACATGCATCTTGACCTATCCCTGGCAAGCACAAGGCAGCAGCACTTGATTTGGGATATATTGCATATTTGATGGTTCGACTGTGGCCATCAACAAGAACGCAAACGTGATAATGAAGAAGCTGGAAGCAAACTTGTTGTGGGACCTAGTGACCTAGTGATTTCTCCGATGCAGGTGTTGGCACTCTAATCAAACCCATCAGGCCGAATGTTGAATTGTCATGATGGTCATGATGCACGCAACAAGGGAGCGATGTTGTTGACAAAAAGGCTGCTGTTCAGAGAACATAGAGCTCTCAAGAAGAAACAACTGGAGAGCGGCGGTGGGAGGAAAAAAAACAAGCCAGAAACAAGCATGTATTGAATACAGTCGCGGCACACAAAAAAACTAAGTCAGAGTCAAGCGGCGCTGATCAAGAACTAAGAGTGAAGTTGCTTGAGTAAAGAGAGAGAGAGAGAGTGTGTGTAGTGTTTGCATGCGCAAACCCAAACAAAATACTTCACGCCCCTCCCCTCCTTCCCACTCCGGCATGCTTCTTGTCCCTCACTTTGCGTACTTATAGACTCTTGTAACAGGTCCATTGGCACCTCCACATCAGCATTTCAGCATTTGCTTGCTTTCACAACAATCCGACACAGAATCCCGGGCAAAACTGTTGCTCCTCAGATTTTCAAACCATCTCAAACCAACCAGGTGGGTCGGCAGAAATGGCCGTTGGCCCCAACTAATGCACAAACAGCGCCAGCCATCAAAACACAACTGTCATCCTGTGTTGGCCCATGCTTTGTCGATCAGTCTGTCTCTGCACATGTGTGGAAATGCATGCGCTCAACTGCGCGACAATCTTCGCCCCGCAATCCGCTAAGTTTCTGCGAGTTTTGGTGGTGGATGTTACCCACGAAGCGAATTGAGCCGTTGCCAGTGACAGCTGCAGAAGGAGCAAAGGTGAAGTTTGGAATCATCCTAAGTTTAAGCAAACTTCAGGATGACGAGGCATCATTCACATCATTTGCTCGGCCAAACCAATCTCGTTCTATGCCCTATGCCACCATTTGCACCACTTGAACAAGCAAACGCCCGGATACTTCCATTCCATCAAGGCACCATTGCGCAAGGGGGAATGCTAAGTGAGGCCTCGCCTCCAATTCCTTGGCAATAAAAAGGAGTGAAACCATGCATGTCTTGCTTGCGGAAGGTCCAGCATGATGGAACAACATCATACAAACACCCTGCATACATGCCGTGTAGATCTAAATAAACATGCGAACTAAACTGTTGTAAAGCTGTAAATTCTCAACCATGCCTTTTGCCGTGCGATCCTTTTGCTTTTGCTTAGTTTAGTCGTCTGCTCCAGTTCTACGTATGTAAGCACTTCAAGAGGCAGTTCTACAATACTCGGGCTTCGTAGGGTCTCAAAATATTTTTTGCGCTCTGCTCACATTGACATTTACTGTTCTGCTGATTTATTTTCACACCTCTGTCGCCGGAAACGTGCCCTACTACTCACATGCACACACAAACATGTGTTCACATGCTCCTTTGGCAATCTGCATCATCATGAAAGGCCTATGAATTCTCAGTATATATAACTATATATATATACTGTTACAGCGCGGTCTCAGATGTTTCCGCTGAGAAAAGGGGTCTCGCGCCGAAAGGGTTCATCGACCGTGTCTCCTGTGCTTGAACTTCCTAGGAATACTGCCACGCCCCCATCGTTCAGACACCGTCAGCATAGGTCAAGCTTCTTGCCTTCTTGGAAGTGATGGCGCTTTGGTGAAAGTGCACACATTCCCCCTTTGGGGTCTTCCTCAGATTTGTCATCTGAGTCATCAACTTTCGAGCGTGTTTGCTCTCAAGCTCATACATTTGAAAATTCTCAGCCGCGTGTCCCTGCAGCTCTTTGACTCTCTCTTCAAGTTGCTCGATGTAGATGTCTTGCTTCACATACTCAGCCTGCATCTCAGCCACTTCGCTCAGACGTTGCTGCCGGTTGTCATCTCCCAGGCATGTTGCCTGTGTTGACTGACCCTTCTTCTCTGGGATCATTCTCACTTCCTTCTCGGTGTTCTGAATCGTCACCTTCTTGAAGTCCAGCAATGATGCCACCCTTCACAAACACAGTGATGAAGTCCCGAAGCCGTAGATGCTCAAGACCCCCAGGAGTGCGCAAATGCAAAAGACTGTCCATGACCAGCAAAAATGGCTGCCTCCCGCATCGGACTCTAGAGAGGCTCCAGAGGCCTTCGGCCTTCTCCAAATTCGCCAGCAGCAGCAGTAGGCACACCCTCAAAGCTTTCTTGTTGCCGATCTGCTTTTGGCTTTGTTTCAGTCGAACTAGCAACCCTTCAGAGCAGCCAGCGACCATGGCAACGAACTCTGATTCCCCTGAGGAAAGGGCAATAGCCAGCTGTGCCCTCACCCTCGATTCCACCAAGTTGCCGTCCACGAAGATCTGGAATGAACTGGTGGACCTCCGGTCATTCTCTTGTTCCCGGCATAGTCAGCATCCATCGCCACCTCAATGAGATGTCTCAAGCAATTCAGCAATTCCGTGGCCTCTTCTTCATTCCTCACGTCCATCACGGATTGCCCCGTCTTTCGCGAATCTATCAGGACTCCATTGCCACTGGCGCCGAAGAGGTAGAAGACCACGCGCTCTGCATTCTTCATGGCAACTTCGACATGCTCCTTGCCAAAGCACTGGATTGCATGTCGCGCATCTGGTCGTTCTCCAGAGATGTACATCAGCTTGCCAACAATGCGCCTGAACTTTGTGACACCTGAGCCGACCAACTCTGGGGATTCATCCTTCTTCCCAAAGTCTGCACTCATCGAAGTCTTCCTGTAGAAGCGAGCATGGAGGTTCGTCACGTCCTTCTTGAGGTCGTCATACTGCTTGTGGTCACATCGTATCGCGCAGCTTCTCTTCCACCAGTCGAACTGTCTCTTCAAGTAATGAAACTTGTCACCAGGCCTTTTCCTCCACGGTCCATCCCTTCTCCTGCTTCACGTATGACATGAACTGCTTTTCAGCTTCTCTTCGCTTCCAATCAGGAACGCATCATCCACACGCACGGTCAAGTAGAGTTCTCCTGGCAGCATCATCAGAGTAGGCTGCATCATGTCCTGGGTCAAGCCGAAGTCAGTGCAAGCTTGCGCATATAGCAGTCCTTTGGGATGCCGCTGTCCGTTGACCTGGTAGGCATCGAAGAAGTCGAAAAATCCCACCATTCACTCTCTCAACCACCTCATCTTGAAGTTGGAGTACACGTTCACGATCAAGTGGATCAGGAGTTTTGGAACCATCATCGCGCAAATGTCTGTTCCAAGTCTATACTGCTCCTGAATTGTCTCGCCACCAATCTTGCCCTGCAGAACCAGCCGCCCATCTCCAGTCGGAGTTTCCAGCAGTACACTTCCTCTGTCGAGTCTGCGTCACATCGTTCTCGTCTGTCTCGATCATAGCTGGCGTCTCCATCATCCGCTGGATCTCCTTTTCCCTGGCTTGTGCATCCAACTCTGCCAGGCGTTCCTCAGTCACCACTGGAGGATCCTCATCCTCTTCGCCCCCATACACAAAATCCTCATCATCGGTTCCAGTCGATCTCATCATCACCATGCACCTCCAGGTTCACCGCATTGATGCGTGCATATACTGGAGGATACAGGCGCAGTACGCTGGAAGGCGATCCCCTTGGTGATGCTTCTGGCATTCTTGCATCAGTTGGGGTTTCTTCAACTCTCTGCTTCTTGTCCTGCTCCTCAAACTCTGTCTCGGTCTCTCTTTTCTCCTGCGTCCTGCGCGGAGAGGTAGAGTCATCGTGACGTTTGGGCTCATGTCAATCTTCTTCAGCATCTTCCAATGATCTCAGGTGGGTGTTCCTGGGGCTGCCACTCCCAATCCAGGTGTCTTCGGTGCTGGTGTCCCTGATGCCACCAGTGGCGATCTGCCTCATCTCATTGTCATCAGCGCCCATCTCCAGCGCGGGCTGCCTTGTACGCTGGGTCTGTCCAGCATGACGCATCAAAATGCCCTGTGGGGAGTAACTCCAAGGGAGGCCCTTTGCAATCACGATGTCCGTGGCGATGAAGTTCTCTCCAGTCGCCAATCTTCGGATGGTTCTGGCTTCAAATGCACCATCAGGAGTGAGGATCAGCTTGCCTGCCCAGACTCCTCTCTCAAAGAAGTTGTTCCCCTTGAACTTGATGATCTTCTTGAAGAGCGTGCTCTCGCCAAAAAGCGCTAACTTCCCATGGTAACTGTGGCCTGTTGCAAGTTCGAAGCTCGTCTTGTTGCAATCGAGCACACGGAATCGATTGATCAGGAAAGCAACATACCTGAAGCTCCATGGATACAAGTGGAATGAACCAAGGATTCGAAGTCGGGTACGATCTTCGGCAAAATCTTCGGCAAAACTCCTCCAGCAATTTGCCAACCGACGTACTGTCTAAACTCCCTCTCCACTTGTCCATTGGAAGAATGCTGACCCGGTCATCCTGATCTCTGTCTTGAGGCCCATCACACTTCTGACCTGTTGAACTGACCTCAAGATCTGCTCCCTCAGGGTCAGCTTGAAAGATGCCCAGGTCATAGGAAGAATTCTCCAGCGCGAACCTGATCACTTCTTCTGGGACGGTCTTCAGGCTAGCTGTCCCCTTTTGACGGTACAGGCATTGCGTGTACTGCTTTCGTCTCTGAACTTGTGAGGATCAAGCGTGTCCCATACTGATCTTGCCGTTCTTGTACCTTGCCAAGGGTCGGTTCATCACCTCGTTGATCTTCACCAGTGTAGGTGTAGCAACAAATCCATCTGGATGAGGTTCTTTCCTTGGTCTTCTTGTTCTTCTCGATTCACACGCTTGTCCTCTTTGGCTCGACCAGCAACGCATGCTTGGCACCATCCAGCATAGGGCATATGAGTGACAAAGCGCCGCTCTTGGTCTGCCAAGCTCGGGAGTTTCGGCTGCCCAGTTGTGACTGGAAGTCGTTGCTGCTCCTTGTAAGTCTTATTGGCAATGGACAGCTGCATCTGTGTCTCTATGTTGATCTTGAAGTTCATCAGCCTCTCCAATAGGGCTCAATCTGGCGCTCCGGGCTGAACTCCAGCCCACTATAGACCAGCGACTCCCAGAAATGCCTTTTGGTGTCTCTGGTCTCAGGGTTTCAACTTTTGAGATGAACTTCCACCTTGAGGGAACTACCACCAAAATTTCTTTCAAGCCAGCACTCAATCTCCCGTTTCCCCTTTGCTGGAAAATGATCGAGGCACGAGCAGCCTTGTCGCCCTTGATCCACCTGACACGGGTTAAGTACTGCTCAGTCTCGAAGGTGACCGTGTAGTAGTGTCGCCTCTTGAGCTTGCCACCTTGTGGGATCACTCAATTGGGTTGAAAGTAGTTGATGTCTCCTGGGTCGCGGTCGTGCCAACTCCTCCTGCCAAGCCTGCGAGCACAATGAGCTCGATCAGCCAAATGCCAGTCGAGGATTGGCTTGCCGTCCACCACCAGTGTGGTCCTCAAGGACAAAGGGCTCGTGGTGCTCGTAGTGCAGGCGTGTGCAGCTGGAGCGTGGCTCAGTACGGCCAGCGCTCCGCTACCATGAAACAGCGCGGTCGCAAATGTTTCCGCCCAGAAAAGGGGTCTCGTGCCGAAAGGGTTCATCGACCGTGTCTGAATGATTGCTCATGCGCTTGAACTTCCTAGGAATTCTGTCATATACAGTATATAGTAGAAGAGAAAGCGCAAAAAGGTGTCTGTATCACACACCTAGTTGCTTCCCAGCAACGCTGACAATTTGATTAAACGCTTCTTGATCTTCTCCTTCCAGAGAAGCCTGGCGCTCGGAATTGAGTGAGGCTTGTCCAAGGAACAATGGGGTGCAGCAGCTCTCAGGAGTGCATGTATCCGGCTAAAGTTCCTAAAGCGCCCTCCAAACTAGTCAAACTCAAACTGCCAGTACCTCAAGTGTTCCACCTCAGTCAATCCCACCAAGTCATTAGCTTACACGCTGTATGGATGTCGGCTTTGCAACCTGGCATGATTGCTGACCATGATGCAGCTTTGGATGCTTGGTCCGATTGGATCATAGAATGTTGCGAATGGATTTCACAACCCAGTCATTTGCTTGGAAGAAAAGAGAGTCATCTTCCAACACGCAGGCGCGAGTCTGAATTCGCTTCTATCACTTGAGCTCTCAGAGACCAATAGAGGGAGGTTAAAGCGAAAAAGCGGATAAACCTCGTGAGTGCGAGTGACTCGTGAGTGGTGTTGCTCCAGTGAGTGGCAACAGGACACCCATAGCAATGAAGCAAATAACCAAACTTATTCGCCTCGTAAAGTGAGCAAAAATTAGAGGCTTTCTGAATTCCCCAAGTGTGTAGTTAAGATGCTGTTTATTGTATCTCAGGGTGAAGCTTTTGTCTTGCTTACAATGTTTCAAGGTGTTCCTTCCGCCATTGCCATAACTCGCGAAAGAAAACCCGAAAGTTTGAAGCGCAAGCAACGCCTCATTGCTATCCACCTGCTCTAACATGATGGCTGTAGAGTAAAGAAAATAACATGCGAAAGCTTGCTGCCTTGCTATGCGTTAGTTGTATGGTCTAGAGAGACTACTTCAGATTCCTCTATTGAAGTCTTCAATCACATTCTTTGGTGTTCGCTGTGTGAGTGGCTTTGCGCAATTAGACCTGGATGAAGAGTCTATGCCAGTCTATGCAGTTTCTAAACTTCCTGTTGATGCAAAACCACACATATCCACCACTCTTGCTTCACACTGTATGTGAGGTTGGGCAAATGAGGTCCGTGATTCTTGACTTTGAATGAAGGCCGTGAGTCTGTGAGCTACAACTGCTGCAAGCCTGGCTGCTGTATACATGGGCCATTAAAAATCACAACACTGGGACACACTCTCAGGGCGCTGCTTGGCTTGTCTCATGCAAACGCGGGGAGGCTATCAATGGAATCCTCTCATGATGCAGAAGAAAAGACAAAGGGAAAATGTCAAGTGAAGGCTTCTTTTAATTTTGCCAACCAATTTGTCTACAATGCGTGGCTGCAATGAACTGCCAAAGCGCAAATTTTCTTCGGCGTCGGTGGCTCATAGCACACATCTCACTGGGGGGCAGAACTTCACCCATGCAGTAAGCCAAGAAGCAGGTCGAAAAACAACCGAACTCATATGTTGTATCAAGAAGCTCCTGCGGCTTCATTAGTTATCTCATGTTATCTCAACATCTGTGAGGCAGTCGCATTGGCTTTCTGATCTTTGGCATGGCCAGTGGTCTAGTAAGACTGGGAATTTATTGGAATTCCTAAACACACTTTCAGAAAAACGTCTAAGCTAGGTACAATGGCCACCGCTTGCGAGAACATTATGGGTATGTGGCAAAGCTCTTTGTGGTTTTTGAACTACCAACGATATCCGAACATCTCAACCGTCTTGATTGGTAGAATTTCCAGTCCTGCTCAGTAAATGGACCGAAAGCAGTCATTTTGGCACAAGTCGGTCCGCGCTTTGGCATTGACACTTTGAAAGGAACGCTGGGCATTCAACGCTTGAGAAACCACCAAGCACGCTGAGCGCTTGAAACACTTCACAAACATATCCAAACAGTGAACACAAAGGCAGGCACATTGTGAGTTGTTGTACCATTTCTAGCCCTTGTTGACTGTCATGTCATAGTCATAGTCATAGTAATATATGATTTGCAGGCTGGGTGTTCTGTGATCATGGCCCGGCTTGACTTTCCTTTCAGTCACTACTGATTGCATTGGAGCCACGGTTCAAGCGGTGGTTGCAACACCATAGCGGCCACAGACCTGGCAGAATCATAAAGCAAATTATATATATATATGAAATAAATGTGATCTTGATCTAAGATGTTATTTAACACTGCAACAAGAAGCTACTAGGAACAAAGGGCATCGCTACTGGGAGCAAGGACGCTACTAGTAGCAAGAATCTACTAGTAACAAGGCAGTCTTGTGACGTGCTAATTGTTTGCATCTCCAAGCCTTCCATTCTCGAGTAAGGCACCAGAGTCTTTTGGAGCTCCAAACTGAGGCCACAAAGAGAAAAATCCAGTGGCTCATGCTTCAACGCTTCAAAATGAACATTGGATATCATATGGGATCTTATGTGTCCAACAAACTGTGTCGTGCAATGGCACCGATTCCATACCGAAACCCCTGTTAGGGATAGCTCTCGCTTAGTAGTAGTGGCGCATGCTTCCGTGCAATTTGCGAATTGTTGGCAACAGTTCTACTTTGCATTGTGAATCAACAACCGACACTGGTGCTCGAACTGTCACAGCTTACAACTTACAACACATTCCAGTAGATTGATAAATTGCAAGGTCCCCCAGTAGCACAAGAGCAAAGGCCCCGCGTGGTAAGATATCCAGCGAGATCTAATTACTACCGATGTTGATGGTGGCATCAACGCCCCAAGTGAAGCTTTCTTCTTTGATGCAAATGCAACTTCCATGCAGAAGCAAATCACTGACGCAACCGACCCGTGCCTCTTGCTGCTCTTGATGCAAGAGCCTAGCGGTGTTTGTTGGTCACTGGTCCTAAGCTTGTCCTTGGGATCCAACAAAAATGGCCATGCAGCTCAACACCACTATCCGATAGTCAGAAACAAGAACAGCCAACTGAACCCCCCCACACGCCTCTCCAAAACAGACTGCGCCTTTGGCAATGGTGGCAGCCCATCCCTGTCACTAGCGAACAGTCTCAACTTGAGATGAACTGGTCTCGCTGCACATGAGGAACACACCATGTGTATCTACATTGCATCAAAAACCGCGCCGCCCCACCAAGTGTATCACTGCTACCACCTCCCAGCACCAGGCCCATTCGGGGGTGGGGGGTCATGGCGTGAGGCTGCGTTCACGAAAAGGCGGGGTGCCCATTCTTCTTGTCAACAAATAGCTTTTGTTATTTGTTTGATTGCGTTTGCCTATTTTCCGATTTCTCTTTAATTCATGCTCGCCGACACAAGGGCCTTTCAGATAATAGCAGTGCCCTGGGCAGGGGCAGGGTCTCCCTGGCTGTCGGACCAAAGGTCACTTCCAAATACATCCACCACAAATTTGGCCGCAAAATTATGTTACACCCAGAAAGCCATCAATGAACAATATACATGTGACGTGACGAATTGGTGACACGCCCTTTGCCAAGGACCTGTGTCATTGGAATCTAATCTTACAAATACCCATGTCAGGTGCACGGTGCGAGGCTTTCTTTCTGCCGCAGAACCGGTTCCGTCCTGGCATGTTGTGACGTTTGCTGCATTGTTTGCATTTTGGTGGCACATTCGTAGTTTGCATGCTCAATTTGCATGTTGGCTTCGTCTTCAACTGCTCTGCCTCAGCGTGATGTGCTTGTGCTCCGCAATCCGACCATCCTGCGGAACGCTCTCAAATTTGCCAGAAAAACCCTACACACGTGTCAAAAGTAAGCAAACGACTTGATGTTGGTGCTGCACTGGTCTTGCCAAGTTAATTCCGTGCCTGGGGCATTGGTGGCACTTGGGGCACACGCACTTTGGCAACCCAAGCTGCTTTTGTTGCCTAGGCAAGTTTTTTTTCAGCGTTTGCCTATTCGCAGCAAACATATCACCTGACAATTCTATGAAGGCTTGACATTTTTGGCTATCTGGTGCTAATTGCGTTTGGACAGTCTAGGCACTTGGCTCTGGTTAACCCTGAAAGTCTACAACGCTGATACTCAATCGGGGCAACAAATCTATTGAGCACGTATACATCCTGAGAAAGGACGAACGAACACCAATAATTTGAAGCGAGTATGCAGGACCCAGTTGTAAGGTACAGGCAAGGAACAGTAGACAAAGTACAAATACCAAGAGGCTGTCTCTGAACACACTGTGACCAAAATCTACAAGGACATTAACCGAAGTGACCTGCAAGCATGTGTCCAGCAGACACAGGCCAGCAGCACACCAAGAGCAAACCAGCGCATACCACACCAAACTAGCCACGCAGCACACGTTAGACCAGCAAAGGAAACAGCAGCAACCCACCAGCAGCAGCAGCAGAAACAGCAGCAGCAAACCCAACCCAGCGGCAACACCAGCAGCTGAATGCGGCTCTGAAAGCCCTCTTCCACATACACCTCGCTGATGCATATGATGCCGCTGTCATCACCATTTCTGCATCACCCGCTCACCGAAAATGATTTCCACCAGAAAATTGAAACACCATTAAGGTTTGCCAACAATGGTGGCCGTCTGCCCCCACACACCTTGAATACTGACTTCGCTCGCAGAAACTAACTGCATCCTAGCCGTATACCGACTACCGGCTGGTTTTCGTACATTTTTGTTGTCCTACTACACGAACGCGCGGCTTGGGTGCAAGTCACCACCCATGAACGACCAGCTTGCAAAGCGCACCGCAACATTAACGCGCGTGTGTGGCGCGCGCGAAACTCCAACGAAGTGCTGGTTATGTGGTTTTGTAAGCAGAACTGCTTGTTGCAGGCCATTACACGATGTTCAAAGGGACCCGCCAATTCCCAACTGTGTTTTCCTCTATACATCACATGCTCATTTGCATTGGGTTTGTTGGAAACTCCGTTTCTTCCCCAGATAGCGTGAACTATTGAGGTTCTTATACTTCAAGTATAAACAGGAAAGCTGCATGCGTGCGTGCGTGCGTGCGTGGGTGTGGGTGTGTGTGTGTGACCTTTGGGGTCACAAGGCTCCTTTTGGAGTGTTACCCCTTACAGCAGGGGACCAGGCCAGATACATCGTCGCCTGGTCAATGAAGCTGGCGATGTATCTGAGGATATGGAAATGGGGCGCCATTTCCACGTACCTGCTCCACTATTTAGGAAAACAGAACTTCTGGAAATGATACTCGACACACTTGTGCGCCGGTGCCTTTCCTTGTGTTTTGCCTCTCTTCAACCTTTCGGTTTGCAGGTAGGCCTCCAAACTTGTAATGTGGTCCTTCAACCTGCATTCTTTGGCCTCCACCCACTAGCATTGGCCTCTAACCTTGGCTGTCTTGTGCGTCTTGTGTTTCTTGTGTTTCTTGTTTACTTGTAGCGCTGGCCTCCAACCTGCTGGTACTATGGCCTCCAACCCACTAGCCACGACCTCCAACCTTGCTGCTCGCTGTCACTTTTGTCTTGCTTGTGCGTACTACCTACCACCTACTAGCGACGGCCTCCAACCTTAGGCGTTGGCCCCCAACTTCCTTGCGATGGCCAAAAAGCGATGGCCTTTAATTTACTACTTGTCACTTTTGTTTTGCTTGTGCGTGCTACCTACCACCTACTAGCGACGGCCTCCAACCTCAGGCGCTGGCCCCCAACTTCCTCGCGACTACTTGTCCTCCGGGTACCTCAGGTTTTTAAACTCAGGCCGGCGTGTCGCCAACCGCAAACGAATCAGTATGCAATTCAATAAGTGTGTCTGGCTTCATGCCAGCCCAGGGTGACCCCGCAGAGTGGCCCCTGTGGACCCGTTGAACGGGGGTTTGTCTTTGCCCCTGCGCCCGGGACCAGAGTAGTCCGCAGCGGACAAAGTAGGCTTAGGCCAAAGTTATTTGCCAAGACTTGCCGAAGTATTGAATTCTAAGCTGGCTTATGCCTCTACGTGACCGCAGCGGTCTTAGCAGCCAGCCATTTTGGCACGGCGTTGTTCCTGAATGTATACACAGGTTTCACCCCCCTCTCTCACTTGTGTGTCCCTGGACGCTTGTTCGTAGCTGGGAACACCTGCCCTTTTCCCTCTCTCTTTCTCTCTTTCTTTCCTTTCTTCATCTTCCTTCTTCCTTGGGTGTCCCTGGACGCTTTCGTCATAGCTGGGAGCCCTTCCTTTTCGGCGTGTCCTTGGACGCTTGCGTCGTAGCTGGGAGCACCTTAGTTTCCTCCTTTCTCTCCTTCTCTTTTCTTCCTCCCCTTCCCCCCCTCTTTCCTCGCGTGCGGCGTGTCTACAAGCAAACAAGGCTTCTGCAAGGTTTCTCAATGAGGTTTGGTCTGTCGTCGGTTAGTCCCCTTTCATTTGGTTTCCCTTTCATTGGCCCCCACAGACGTCTTCCCTTCTTTTCTTTCATGTCTTTTCTGTCTTCTTGTCTCTGCATCCTCATCCTTTCCTTCTCTTGCGCGCACTTTCGTCCGGACCTTAGTTTGTACACATACACGCATAGACGGACGCGCATTCTACTTACAACGAGGTTCAGGTGGCCCAGGTTTGTTACAATGAGGTTCGGCTCATCGGTTGTCCCTCTTCACTTGGTTTTTCTTCATCGGCAACCGCACACACTTTTTGTCTGTCTCGTCTTTCTCATGTTCATCTGTCTCTTTTGCGTGCGCATGTGTTTCGCATAACCGTAACCCTCTTTCCGGGCAGGATGGAGGCCACACATACCTCCCTTCGGGGTGTGTGTGTGTGTGTATCCTTTGGAATCACAAGGCTCCTTTTGGAGTGTTACCCTTTACAGCAGGGGACCAGGCCAGATACATCGTCGACTGGTCAGTCTGAGGATATGGAAATGGGACGCCATTTCCACGTACCTGCTCCACTATTTAGGAAAACAGAACTTCTGGAAATGGTACTCGACACACTTGTGTGTCGGTGCCTTTCCTTCTGTTTTTCCTCTCTTCTACCCTATAGGTTTGCAGGCCTCCAAACTTGTAATGTGGTCCTTCAACCTGAATTCTTTGGCCTCCACCCTCTAGCATTGGCCTCTAACCTTGGCTGTCTTGTGTGTCTTGTGTTTCTTGTTTACTTGTAGCGCTGGCCTCCAACCTGCTGGTACTATGGCCTCCAACTCACTAGCGACGACCTCCAACCTTGCTGCTCGCTGTCACTTTTGTCTTGCTTGCGCATCCTGGCCCCCAACTTCCTTGCGGTCACTTTTGTTTTGCTTACTACCTACCACCTACTAGCGACGGCCTCCAACCCTAGGCGTTGGCCCCCCAACTTCCTTGCGATGGCCTCCAACCTAAAAGCGATGGCCTTTAACTTACTACTTGTCCTCCTGGCATCTCAGGTTTTTTAACTCAGGCCGGCGTGTGGCCAACCGCAACCAAATCAGTACGCACTTCAATAAGTGTGTGTGTGTGTGCGCTTTCCAGCCTCACCAGCCCACTGCAGGGCGCTGCTGCTGTGTGTGCTTGGGAGCTGGGGCGCTGGCGCCGCTGCAGGGCAAGGCTGCTGTGCGCAGCTTGCGCGCTGGCACCGCTGCAGGGCGTCACTGCTGTGTGCGCTTGGATGGGCCGTGGCTTAAGGGGACCCCCTCTCAAGGCCCCCCTGGAATAGTTTAAAAATTATTCTGACCCCTAGTCACATCGATGCTGGAAATTATTCTGGTATGTCATTCGCATTCAGGAATAACTTCTAAAATTTCTTAAACAGCTGGATGCAAAACCGCGTGTTTGAATTAATTTTGCGTTGAATGTCCAAGTATAGGTTCCCCTCCTAGTGAGCGCTTAGGGGGATCGGTGAGAATGTACCAGAGCCAGGACTGTGGACAATTGCAATGGCAATGGCAAGTGGTGCAGGAGCCAGCCAGCCCCTAAGCACCCTGGGCTGCGGACAATTCCAGTGGCAATGGTAAGTGGTGCAGGACCCAGCCAGTGGCACATATTTATTCCACGGGGGCCTCCATATCTGAAGGAATTATGGGCAAATTGAGCCCCCAAGCACCCTGGGCTGCATACAGGCTGCCCTAAGCAGCTACAAAGCAAAGGACTGTGAGAAGGTTGCAGAGCCAGGACTGTGGACAATTCCAGATTGTACATGTATGTACGTACCTCTGGGTTCTTCTGGTATCTCTCTCATGTACATCTTGGAATATTGTTTTAAAAACTATTCCAAATTTATAGGTAGTACCTTGAACCACTACCTAGCTAAAATATTATTCCATAAATACTATTCCAAAAAAGATATTCCAGTAGGTCAGATGACCCCTGGAATAATATTCTTTAATCCACCCCCTATGCGCTTGGGAGGTTGGGCGCTGGTGCCACTGCAGGGCGCTGCTGCTGAGAGGTGCGCCGCTGCTGTGCGCTTGGAAGCCGCTGCGGGGCGAGGCTGCCGCGTGCGCTTGGGAGCTTGCAGGGCCGCTGCACGGCGCCGCTGCTGTGTGCAATTGTCTTTGGTATCGTGCGCATGTTTCTTTGGGCCCATGCGATGTTTTCAAGAGCGCTGTGACACGCGAGCGAAAAAGCTGCGACAGCTTGAGCGCAATGATTCCAATGCTATCTGGGGTCTACCTGGCGTAATTTTTAATTGGTAAGTTGATTGGACACATTGTAGCAGGGGGACAGCAACAACACCAACTTCTTTTTCCCCAGATAGCGTGAAGTCGAGTATATAGTATAGGAAGAGCTGCGTGTGCATTTTCGAGCCCGGGCGCCGCTGCAGGGTGCGCTTGGGAGCTTGAGCGCTGGCGCCGCTGTCTGCGCTTGCGAGCTCGAGCGCTGGAGTTGGAGAGCGCCGCTGCTGTGTGCGCTCGGGAACTTAGGCGCTGGCGCCGCTGCAGGGAGCGCGCGCCTTTAATGTGTGGCCATGTGCGCTGCCAGATGTGTGGCCGTGTGTGCTTTGGAGCTTGGAATGTGCTGCCCGCAAAACTTTCGGCTATTATTTGGTGATATTTGGGGTCTACGCTGGTGTAATTTAACATCTCTGCGTGCGTGCGTCCGCGTTGCATTTTTGTTGAAACAATGCCTATCAAAGCTACTCCTCTAAGCACGCGTGGTTCAACTTCAGAAAAGAGTTGCGGCCAGTTGCGCGCAACCACGACTACATTACACTGAAGTCCTTCTGGGCGGATTCTGACTGGCTACAGCTACACCCTCTTTTGACTTTGAGATTGTGTCACTTTTGCTGGCCGCAGGCTAGGCCAAAACTCCAGGTGAATGGCCGTTTGCCTCAAGGAATGCCCAATTCCATCAATTTCTGACCTGCCTGAATATGTTTGGGCGCCATCATCAGTCTGCATGTTCAACTGCCGATTGTACACACCACAAGCGCCCATCACGAAAGCCCTCCAAAACGATGATATTATGATAAACTATGAACATGGCGTCACAATTGGGTCTTGCCAAGAACCCTGGTATGGATCGCTCGCTCCTCGCTGCCACGGCAGTGTTCCATACCCCTTTGATCAAGTCTCTGATCCAAGCCCTATGGGTCATACTGTTTGCTCACAGCTTGATCTAAATCTATCCCACACCTGAAGCCCTGACACAGTGGTGTGACCATTCACAGTCTCTCTGTGTGTGTGTGCGCATGTGTTTGACTGTGTCTTTTTCAAGCCCAAACGTTTCGTATGCTATGAATGCAGCGCGGCTTCGTTACTCATGCCTGGTACACCTCCCTCGCCCCCGTCACAAGGACACATGGGATTTCCAGGCATTGCACAAGCTCACCAGGCACCAGGTGGGCACTTTCGGTTTACTGGTTTCTGGTAAACATGTTTTGTTCATAATACATTTCCAGTTTTACAGTGCCTGGGTTCCGCCAGATTGTGCACCAGCGCAAATCACACCAGGAAAAGATCTCAAAGACTTCGCAAGCGTCTTTCAATGGACCCCCCCAAAAAGATTAACAGAAGCGGCTAAATTGAACGTAATTCCTGTTTTGTCGGGTCTCCCTTGCCTTGAAGAAGACAAAGTTTAACATATTGGATTTGAAGGGGCCGACGACGCTGCACGCATTATACCAAGCTGTCCTCTGAAGAGCAGCGGGTGCTCAAAGCCCAAAACAAACCTTTTTGAAGAAAGTAAGAAATCAAAACAAATTACCAGAACCAGTAGCCACTAACCTGACAACAAGCTCACACGAGATATCGGAAGCCACTACCCCCTCCCTCAAGCTTTTTGCGCTCATCCCTTCCCACAAGCTGTTTTTTTATTTCTCTCCTTGCTTCTCTGCTGCTTTGGATTTCTTCCTGGCCTTGAGCAAACCTTTCTGCTCGTTTCTTATTTCTATCCTTTTTGTCACAACAACCCAACTATGTGATCCAAGGGCTTGTATCACACACCCACTTTCTGGTCCATGCCCTATGGATCGAGGTATGGAATGGATCGTGTGTATGAGTGCTTGATCCAAGCCTTAAAAAATATATACTGTATATAAATGTAATTAATTCATAGTAATTCTAATTTTGGTCATCATAAAATGGTTCCTCATTATTAACATCAAGTTATTGCAATTAAAAGAGAAGTATCAGCAACAATTTGATAACATGACAATTACTGTACATGATTTATCTTATAGCGTCTAGCAACAGCAAGCTCAAGCAAACATAACAAGCCCAACTATCGTGCAAAGGAGCAGTCCAACATGCAGCGTCATCGAAATGTATGGGCTCCACAGTGTTCGATTGTTCATCATCTTATTGGCACTGTTGAACACAACATAACTCAATCTTCGGACTACTGGGGAGCTTTTTAAAGTCTAGCCGAATGGAGTTTAGAGCGAGTCAAACGTAAGAGGGTGAAATCGGAGGGCAACAAGCTCGGCAAGCAAAAATATGAAGTCTGAAAAACATAAACTGCCATCTTGCTGACAAGATGTGTCAAATAAAGTTTGAAAGCCAGCAAGGCAAAAGGGAGCAATAAGAAACTTTCTGTAGAATTCACTGAGTAGGCTTTCCGGTACCGGTAGAAATCTGAAAAGGTTAGTGTGCACTGTGCACTATATAACTTCTGGAACACACTCGATCTGGCCACTCAGGCTACTCTCTTTCATTCCTCTTCTCAGGTCCCTTTATTTCATTAGGAACACACTACCCCTTTCACTGCAAAAAGTCGCAGCAAGCACAAGTGACTTAGGCTCCAGCTCCGGCTGAGTGTCCATTTGCCTTAGCAAATCGCACACTACATCCGTTGCAGACCGATCTGAATATGTCTGACCACATCATCTGCAAATACATATGATAGGATAATATAGGTGCATGTTGGACTTTGTATAGCCATGAGCACCTGCCACGCAAAACAATCTTAGCATTGAATGCATCCGTCACTTCTCTTGCAAGCGAAGGGTGCGATTAAGCGCGATCAAATATGTCTGCCGTTGCCATTGTTTCACAGAAAGGTTTCACAGAAAGCGCACGCTCCAGGTGTGGCTCTTGAACAAATCTAGACTGAAGAGAAGTGAAGATTCTCTTGATCTGCGCAAGCCAAAATGAAAGGGAAACAGAATGTCTGTCGAAATAAACTAGGATGAGAAGAGATACGCGATATTACATATAGTTGCAGCTGCAGTAGAAAGCAAGCCATGAGAAGCATGACACGTATATTGTCGGCCTTGTTGACCATATTCCCCACTCCAAAGACACAAGCCACAGGAGGCATCTTTCACTCATGCCTACATTTCAGCAAAGTAATGCTATTTTGTTCTGTTTTGAGTCACTTTCGGTTTCTTGCAGGCTTGGACCATTGAGGCCACAACTCCGGCTGAGTGGCCATTTGCCTGAAGGCTTTCACTTATAGGCCTATACAGTATTACAGTCTCTTGAACACAAGTGCCCACCAAACAAAACGTCCAGCAAACGTCCCTCACCACTTATATATATTGTTGGGTTACAGTAAATGGATTGACAAACGACAAATGACAACACTCTGCTGTCTACTGTGCAGTTGAAGCGCAATCACCTTTGCCGCCGCCATGCTCCCAGATGCTATCACCGGTGGAGAGGTGGAGAAGGAGCTGGCAAAGAAGAAGCTCCGGAGCTGGTTGAATTCTGGAATGAGAATCAAAAGGTTTTTCTTGCCTGCTTGAACCGCTAGAATGGAAAGGCCCACCTCAGCACAAGGGTCTTGAGGTCTCTCGGCCAAAAGATGTGCATCATGCAGAGCAGAAAGCCGGCAAATGAGGCTGCTTCCATGCTGCAAAAACACTTCGCTATGCCATCTGTGCTTAGCTTCTTAAGTTCATAGCTCATTCGGCCAGATTCGCCTCGGAGGCCGTGCAAATCTGATTGTCACCATGGATCGGAGATGATCCGAGTGAAGGTTCGGCAAAGTATGTTTCCAGTCTAGGGCATGTGCGAATGGAATTTCGCAGGTCCTGCACCGAGTTGAGCCGTATGATCATCAAACTAGTTGTGATTGTGTAGTCAGTATATAGTGGTCTTGCAGGTGCATGGGTTTACTCTTGCATGCCGCCCTTCTTGCATGTAATGTATCACTGTAAAGTTTTTTTTTAATACAGTGTAATACAGTACAGTGTATGTTACGTTGAAAGGTTGTGTTCGCGATGTTTTTATAAGGTTGGATTGTGAGGTTTGCATCTTTCCAGTCTCTCAGGTGTGGTCGACATTGGCAATGACCATCCACAGAAACCCTGTGAGATCATTTACATAGCATGCAATGATCAACACATCTGTTCCTGTGCCAGACCTTGTTGACAGGGTTGAACAAATGTGCAAGCCAAACTCTTCTGAAAAATGAACACTAAATGAGATAGCATGGCGGGAAGAAATAACATACTTGCACTTTTTGTTAAAGGGACGTTCAATATGTGTCCGGTATACGGACTTGCGCGGCTATGCCCCTATAGCGAGTCGAACGCCCTTGTCCAAAAACACCAATGTAATTGCCAATGTAGCTTGGTAGTGAGTTTTTCAGAGCAAGGGAAACTAGCTAAACGTTTTCCAACTCGCCCCATGTTTGCGACTTCTTCCTGCCTCCATGTCATTCCGTGCTTTGCAAAGTGCAATTCCATGCTGCTGTTTAACTGCAAGTGTTTTGGCTTTGCAAAACATCCAATTTCACTGCTGAACACAGCTCTGCAAGCATTTTTCACCCGGTGGATTCTTGGCATGCGTCCAGCCTGGGTAGTGGCAATTGTGATTGTGCTTTCAATTTGGGGATTTCCCATGATTTCCCACTCTCTTGATCAACGCCGCATTCCATCTGCAGTAGCGCGCAATCTTCACCGTGCGTTCTGGTAGAGTCACATAGCCAACCTCTTCTGTGCTTCTTCCGATTATATAGTCCACTTCTTGAACCTTTTACACCTCTAACTTTGCGCCCTTGCAATTGTATCTGCCACATTCTGCCAGAATTACTGTACAATAATTGCTTAGGCTTCCCACACACGCAACCTGCTACCTGCACCCCTTTGAAAGGACGGTCTGCCAGCTACGAGTACCAAATTCACCATTTCCAGCGCACACGGTGCTATCGACATCCGCCAACCCCTGCTCTGAACCCACTTAGTTCAAACTCAACTGGAGCTATTTCTCAAATCTATTCCGATGAAAGCACTGCTGTGTTTCCTCAGAGGCCCACTTGCCCGTGTACTGCTATTTCGCATGGCAACGTGCTACGTCATGTCTGGCAGGCGGTGTAAGTGTAAATTATGTGGCGTAGCTAAAGACTGCAAGCAGTACATAATATCAATATCCGTGTCATATCCTTTCTATAAAATTATATGGTTTAGTGCAGAAAGGATCTTTTGCGCGGAACTGTGCCAGGTCTGATGCGACGTCACGCGCTCTTCCCCGGAATACTTTATATAACTATATACATCCAGAATGGTTTTTTGCTTGAATGTTTTCAGGCGCCGTGACGATTCTCCTGGCTCTGTGCCTCTGCCTCTCATGCCACATGCTTGCTTGTGCTGAAGTCGCCAACAGCCTAATTACCATCAGCAGAAATGCCTTCCTGACAAAATGCTGGCTTGGTCCGCTCGTGAGCACAACTCGACCACCCCTGGACCCCACGCAAGTCGGTCAACTCCTCGACACTCAAAGCACCCAAGTCGTGGTTCAACTTGCCATCCTGATAGACCTTAAGCACTGAACATGCCCTGTAGATATTCGCATTGAAACCAAGCAATGTTTACGGCCATCTCATAGACGTCTGTCCTTTTGATGACTATGGGGCCTATACACTAAGTATACATTTGCGGCGGGCTTCGCAAGCCTATGCGAGCATCTTCCAATAAAGGATGCCTTCCCTCCTAGACAACGTAGCATAAAGTAACTATTGCGCATTCTTCAAATGCCTATGCAACACTTCCCAACCAAAGAAGTGAAGACTTAAATCATCTTAAACCGGCATGGAGAGAATTATGAAAGGGCCTTCGCATACCTTCCCACATGCTTAAAACTGAGAGGTGTGCTTTTGCGGGCCAACAAACAGTTCGTTTTTCATGCAATAAGGCCTTGGGCCTTGCTGACATGCCAATAAATACTGTCTTGACTCTCAACTGTTCTTTAGTAAGGTCCCTGCATCGGGCCAGGCCGGCGGAATGTTGAAGGCTGCCGCCATATCCGGAAAAAGCCTGCATCGCATGCCAGGGAGAAACGGGTGGACAGGAACATCACATCAGTCTTATAACAGCGTCCTGTCATGTTGGATTCTTATGACAATGGGCGCTGAAGACTGGGGCTGCCACTGATGTAAGGGCCAGTGTCTGTCCCACCTCATAGCTCACAAAAGCATATTATCCCGGCAAAAGACCCCAAACAACGTAAAGTTTGAAAAGGATTTCTAGAGGCCTAGAAACAATTTACTCTCTAGGCGACAAAGGTCAGGTCTAGAGGTCGGGAAAGCGATCCAAGTAGAGATTAAGAAAGATCTAGATACAAAGCTCTAGGCCTAGATCCAAACAGCTTGTTGTAGAGGTCTCTAGGTCTAGCGGTCTACAAATTTAGAAATCGAGAGAACGATTTGAAGGTCTATAGAGATCAAAGGAATTAAGAGGTCTAGGCCGAGTGCTTCGATGCAAGGTCTTATAATTTATAATCTAGATCTAGGTCCCGAGGTCCAGAGGTCTAGCGATCTAGAGGTTTTGAGATCGAGGGATACCAAAAGTCTCTGCTAAAGGCCTAGAAACAACAATATTGGTCTGGAGATCTGGAGGTCGAGGTCTAGAGTCAGCACACATATGAAAGCACAATCATCAGAACACACATCTGAGAGCACGCGTCAGATAGCACAGAGTGCGATCTAGAGGTCTTGAGATCAAGAGCGTCGGGGTGCACAAAGTGCTGCGCGCGCTACGAAATTTGAATTTCGAGGCTCATAAAGTGCTGCGCTGCCACGAATGAGGTTCACAAAGTGCTGCGCCTGCCACGAAATCTGCACTTCAAGGCATTCCGCCGATCACATGTAGAAAAGTCACGATTCACTGCACCTGTCACAGAATCTGCATTTCGAAGTAACACCGCTCCGATCCCTTGCGCCTGTCCCGAAAAGCCGACTTTGGACCACCAAAACACGAGCGCGAGGTTTCCCTTGCGCTTGCCACGAAAAGGGACCACCATGTCCGAAAATGCGTGCGACAAGCGCCCGCTCCAGCCCCAGATTTTGCGAGCCTGCGCAGTCGAAATGCACGTTGAGGATTTCGAGAAGCATGAATATACTGCGCGTAGCAACGAACTAGCCAGACGCCCCGACGCAACACCTCGACTAAAGACCGGCCCTTAACTACTACCGTAAGAACCCCTAGCGTGACCGCATTGTTAATTGGGGAACAAAAACAATCAAAAATTGTAGGCACGAGTGACCAGATTGCGCACACACTTTTTTTTGGCAAAGTTTCGCTTGACCGTCTCGACTTCTGAGGGCGCAACTCTGGCAGGCGCACTCGCAAGTCGAGACCAACAGGAAAGCGGCCCATGGATAGCCACTGGCATCAGGAATGCGCATTGGAAAGTTTTGAAAAGGCCGGTAATGAGTTGTCAGCAACTCAGAATCAAAAGGGCACCACGATGGAGGCACATGGATATTGGGTGATATACATGATGGCATTGGCACGGTTTTGATGGCCAACCCATGACAGCTTGACTGCTACACCAAAGTTGGCTGCAACAGCTCTAAACACTTAGCGCTTCGGGTATCTTCAGGTTGACATGTTCACAAAGTTTGCGCAACGTTCCAGAATTCCCAGCCCACCTCATGCATGGTCCGACCAGGAAGTGGTCCAAACTCCTGGTGAGTTACAGACTCCTCTGATAGGATCAAAGCTGCTTCCTGCCTCACACTCACAAACAAGCGTCGGTATGTCTATCTATAACCGTATGACGTTGAAACTGCTACGCGTACGCGTTGCTAGTTATACACGTTCTATGCGGGTCTGACGGCCCTTCCAGCCTCCCAGCAGGCCCAGCCAAATGTGTTCACGGTGTCTTTTGACGGGACTGGAATTGTTTGAGGATGAAATCGAAACCCGCCTATGGCTCGCGCCGCTTGCTCCTCTTTCAGCTTGGGCCAGGTCTAGTGGCCGCAGGGGCCCTTCCCGCATTCACTATCTCTCAGCCTGAGTGGCGGCACTGCAGCCAAAACAATTTTGTTGTTGGGCCCCTTGGTCAGTCGGCCTCGGTGATGCATCAGCATCAGCTGAAGGCACTTCTGTTTCTGTGATGGTATTCGCGGGGTCTTGGGGTCCTTCCTTCATGGCATGGTTCCACAGCGGTGAAAGATCTGGGATACTTCTGGCAAAGCTCCTTGCTTCAAGTTCTTCTCTTCATCTTCCCCAAGAACTGAGACCTGGACTCGAAATGCTTGCAACACTCGCCCATCCCCTCATACATCGCCTAAATCTAATTCTTCTTGAGCGTGGAGCCATACTTGCCAAACACCTCAGACTCTGTCACGGCGTCGTCAAATGCACTGCTCTTAGTTGAAGGCGCGGTCGACACCTTGACTTGTATCTTTTCTCGATTCCCCAGTCCTGGACCAAGTCCCCTCCAACGTGACTGTCAAGATCTCTGACGAGAAAATTTGGGCTGCGTCATGTTCTCTGCTTAGGCTTACTGTGGTCGCATAAGAAGTTGAAATCGAGACGCGCAAGACGTCCCGCCGTGGCTATGCTTAAACATGTTTCATCAACTTTCTGAAATGAGATTTTGTCTTCAGATGGGCGACGGTTTTCTCAGAAGGCTCTCCATGTTCCTCTCCGCCTAGAAGCACGTCAGCCACGTGTACCCCAATGATTCCACACAACTAGGTTCCGCCACCCAGCCTTCAATCCCACAACGTGTACACCTATGGATCCAGCGTTGAGGGTTTCCAGGAAAGGTCTTGACTGCATTTTTTCTGTAGAAAAAGCTCCTGTCACGCCCCAAGTTGCAGCACGAAACAGCATCAGCTCGGCACAATCTTCTCTGGGCACGGCTCCAGACTCTTCACGCGAACATGGCCTCAAAGCATGCTTATCTTCCACGCAGCTTTTGACCTCTTTCCTGATGCCCACACACAACTTCGGGGGTGCACCGCCGCTGCCCTTTGAGGTTCCTCCTGCCTCCAGCCAACAGTACGGTAGCCTCCCTGTTCCTCTGTTGCTAAAACATCCACTTCTTCTGGTTGCTTTTGTTCAAAGGCTCGTTGAATGCAGCTGAATCAACTGGCGGCGCCTAGGTCCCAATATCCTCGGGCCCTTTTCGTCTGGTTGATCGTGGAGCGTGCTTGCTTCCACGTGAGGAGGGCATCTGCTGCATCGTGTCCTTAAGTGTCATCAGGAGCATACCCTGCCTCTGCCTTGTAGACCTCGAACGCGTCAGCCTTGTGACATCCTCCAACTCAACATGGTAGGAATTGGGTTACCAGCTGCTTGGAACAAAGTGTCCGGACAGGTGCTGCCACTACCACTGCTTTCCGTTCAGGGCTCAACTTGGCGAAACGCAGCAAGGGGAAGGCTGCGCGGACCTTCCCCGAGCACGCAGCTGTTGACTCGCCCTTCTCGATCTTGAGATCGAAGACATCACGCAGCACCTTTGCCAGCCGGTCATGAGTGGCCTCAGCTGGGAACAGCCCGTCCACGGTCTGACGAAGCTGGTGTGGGCCTCTTCCGGGATGCCTTCGAACGGTTCATGCCTTCTCCATCGAACCTCTTCGTCAGGCCCTCCTGCTTCTTGTCTTCCCCACTCCTCGCTCTTCTCTCAAGTCAGGGTCTAGTGACCGCAGGGGACCTTCCCCCTTTCACTATATCCAAGCCTAAGTGGCGGCGGACGCAATTGATCCAATGCAGCCAAAACAAAATTGTGGCAGACATGACTTGGACATCTTCTGTTGGACTTTTCGCTCCTGGCCAACACTGTCAAGGTAGAGCCAAGGAAGCCTTAGAGGACAGAAGTAGTGACCAGCCAAGTGTGCTATTGAGCGTGCTTGGTGCGTCCTGGTCCTCTATGCTCATGTGTGTGTGTGTAAAGACAATGCTTACCCGTCTCAGAATCTCTGCTTTGCACAACACAGTTGCGGCCGTCTTGGCAAAGGACTCGTGAGGCCTTCGGCCAAAATCTTCCACCCTGAAGGCGCAATCCTTTGCAGACCTGGAATTCAATAGAGCTGAGATTGAGAGAATGATTTTATCATAGACTTTAGATAGTTTTAAGTTTTAACATAGACTTTAGATAGATTAAAAAAACTTGAAACAATATCAATCATACCATTACCAAATATTATTTGCAGTCATTGCGTTGCTTACTCTTCACATCGTCACAACAAACACATTTGGCTCCGGACAAGCATCTGTACGTTGCCAGTTCAGGCGCTGGCCGACGCATCTGTTGCACAAAAGTGAGCAAAGACAGAATCCGAACGAACTGTTTTGAACAAATGAGCAAATCAGGGCATTTGGATCACATGATTACAAAATGCACTGAGAGAAGCACAGAGCTTGCGCAACCGTCAACGAAATTGCCAAAGTTAGTGCTTCGGACCACGGCTGACAGCAGGAGTTTCACTCGTGCAACTGCTCTGCTACATCTACAGGGATATCACTGATATCACAGCAATGTCTCAACATGCTCCATATCATTGACACCACATGTGTTTGACAATTCGCTTGAGAAATGCTGCTGCTTTGATTGTGCAACCATTGTTGTCACATCTCAAGCCCGTGAATGCCGGTACTCCTGTGGAACACGGTGTAAACATGTGAAAACTGTTGAGTCCATGGCATCTGTCTTCAACTGCTCTGAGCCGTCAATCCCAGTGATTGATCAGCAACTGCTTCGTTCTAGTTTGTAATTTAACACAAATAGCAAGTATTGAAAAACCTGTACTACTACATTGACAAAGTATCACTGCAAGTTGCTATATAGGGTACTTTCACTCGCACAAGATCCATGAAGCGTTATCATTCTGTAGTTGGGGAGAGGCCTACAAGAGAAAGGAGATCAAAGCAAACACATGTGATGATGTACTGCGCAAGATTAAGCCTGAAAGTGTCTCAAAGTGTAAAACTCTACTTGAGGGAGGACTTTACTTTTCTGACAATGTTCACGGTTTAATGCACAAGAAAAAACTGGGTCCGTGCAGAAACGAATTGAGCTGCAAACCTTCAGAATCCAATCTCTGTCCACCCTAGGGTCAAACATTCCTCACAAGTGCAAACATCGTGGAAGTCCATAGGTGTCCTGGGGAGTAAAAAGCCAGCCGGACAGAGAAATCCCGAACGCATCGGCTCCATCAGGAGCAAAATGTCAAAAGTCAAGAAGCTCTACGTCAGACGCAAGCTCCCTGTCTCCATCGACCAAAGGGTTGCACGTGAATTGGCACTGACCTGGCACCAAAACGTATTCAATCCTATTTCATGGTACATCAATTTGGACAGCTGCAAACTCCTTCGTGCTGTGCATTTTCTTATATTGTTCGATTTCAACAATGGTAGTTTGATTCACTAGCAGGAGCGATTGAGTTTATTGCAACACTCTGATGCAAGCTGGCAGCATCGAAGCCAAAGTCAACACTTCTACTAATTACTCAACTTCTACATCTCTTCGCAAGAAAGCGCAGCAGCCGGCAGCTGCTTCAACATCTGGAATCAAACAAGACAGGCAAGCGCATCACAACTGAAGTCCAGGTAGTGCCAACCGGGAGGATGTCGAAGGCTCTCTTGCCAGCCTCGGGCCGCGTGTCTTGGTCAATCTTGTTGCGGAGGTCACTCAGCAATGCTTAAAATTGTCTGTGTATAGCGTTGAGCAGTGCAGCAAGTGCATGAGGAATCGACTTTGGGAAGATCTCGACCTTGCATTGAATTGGAAGAAAATTCCGTGCTCGAGTGAGTCCCTCAATGGCTCCCAGAAAAGACTGCAAAATTTGTGGGTAATTTTGCAGCTCTTGCCAGCCTCCTTCTGACAATGCCAGAGCCTCCCAAGATCTATTTCTGGCTAGACCGGAAATGCAAATGCATTTCAAGGTTGCTTCATTCATGATACTTCCTGGGTCCAATTGGCACACACCGCTGCAAGTTCATCACTTGAGTGGTTGGCAACTGAACCTTGAAGAGATACTGAGGCAGGTGTCTGCTTCATGTGAACAATACTGATGGTGCTGATTGTGAGGTCACAACATCTTAAACCAGCTTTAGTCTTTGATGCCTGAATCATAACTGCATATAACTGCGGTGTTCTTGGTTGATGGTCACTGGCACATACTCTCTATGAAATAGTGTGGCCTGAAGAGCTTGGCTATGTCATGGGGAAAAGGAGTGGCCAGTTTGCAAACTCTAGTATTAGTATGTATTAGTACCTGGTTTCAGTGTTCATCGCAGCTCTTCCCACACAAAGTTTTTCTAAAGAAGAACCTCCGGCTAGAACCACACTCAAATCTAACTTTGCCTTAACTACAGTCACTGTGGACAGCAGAGTTCATAAACAACTTGTGTGTGTGCGATTCCACCCAAAAGCCCAGCGCAGCACGAGGAAAGCTAAATGGTTGAGGCCAATGTGGACGTGCAAAATGCGAGAGTGATGATGACGAGGAGAAGGAGGAGGACGATGATGATGGCAATGACGTTGATGTTGATATAATTATATAATGATGAAAAAATATGATAAGTAAGCCATGGCATAAGGGAAAAAGAACAACACGTGTCCAGCGAAGTTCCTTGGTTCGGTTTGTTACTACTAGCTTCTTGTTACTACTAGTAGGGCACCTGTTACTACTAGAAGTTGCAAGCACGAAAACGAATCGACGTGTCTTCTTTGCATCCCGATATACCTACCAATTGTTCAGGCTTTGCAGCGGTGCCTGGGCAAGCTATGCAGCAACCACAAGAATCACAGGTGGCCTTCTCTGCACCTGCATTGGCTATGGAATCCATGCTTGGTTATAAACGACCAAGCTCATTCCAACCTACATGACAAGAACTGTGATTTGCCACAAATCGAGGGGTATGTGTCAGGCATGTCAAGCGAGACTGAGGAAATCCTCAAGCGCAAGCGACTTTTTGTTGCCTGTGAGGTGATTGTCCATACCCTCAACATCCCTTGGTGCTTACATCAACCGGGAGGCCCAACAATAGATCGGTTTAAATTATATATCCCCTTTCCGCTAAGGGATCAATGACAGCAAGAGGAGATGTCAAGTGAGTTCGCAATGTTCAGCTCAGCACCATGAGGGTCCTTCATTGATGCTCATGCTGCATGCTCAGAATCACCAGAACTTCCAACCTCCGAATTGTCATCGTCTTGAGAATCCAGCTGAAGACCAGTACCATGTCGAACGTGTTCTGGAAAAGAAACTCTGTTACATACTCTTGAAAAGGCTGCACCTTGGTTGCTACTGCATCAGGATCCCCAAGCTCGTCCTCTGTGTCATCGGTTCAGCCTAGAACGTGGCAAAGTTTGGCACTGAAGAAACTGTGGCAAAGTTCTGGGAGGGACAGAAGGTTGATCTGACCGCTTGTGAGGCGTTTTGTGTTTGCAGCCTGGGGTACGGTCTTCAACGCCCGTCTGAGCTTCCACCTGTGCATTAGATCCCACAGCACTGACAGCACTCAGCAGAACAGCACCATCCAGAGAAGCCCTTGGGGGGCCTTTTGTTTGGCCTTCGCAGCGAGTCCAGGCTTGCGCCCTTTCCTCAACAGAAACGGAAGTGCTTGTGATGCTTGTCATACTGTCATACACTTTAGTCAAACTTGGTAAAATGGTCTTGCGCTTGGCATCGCCAGCTTTGCGCTTCGCGCAACTTCTCGCCAGCCATCCATCCAGCCGTCTTTGGGATGATAGAACTCCTCGCAGCCTTCAAACAGGAAACTGACAAAGTCCATGTTGTTTCTGTGGGAAGAGCAGGTTTGCACATTCTGCTTCTACAAATCTGCGTTGCTCCAAAATTATTCCAATCATTGTGTGCAGTGTATGTATTATAACTATACTATATAATTACTTCCAAATGTTGCAAAAGCACCTGCAAGTTGGTCATCTTGCAGTGTATCATGGCATGAGTTGACAACCCTTGCCTTCCAACTCCCCGACCCCAGCAACGTTAGCATCCAATGCCCCATCCACAGCATCCGCAGTTGCGCGATTCAACGCCAAAATGGCTTTCCCAGCAGCATCAATGAGGTCCTTCTCCTAGCAAAGTGCAACATCAGTTATTGAAAGGCATCCTTCCGGTAGCGCTTAGGATGTCTTTTTCGATTGAAATCACCCTCGGAACTCAGAACTATGTGTATAGAACGAATATAAGGCTTTTGAATGGTAATATTTTATATATAACGACATCCAGCTTGAAACTTTGCATGATTGATGAATTGGAACTTCAATCCTCATTGAAACTCTCCTTGAGCACCTGTGTTGAAGAGCTACCAAGAGTAAAGCGTTTGGCACCGGTGAGAAGTGCCACATTTTCAATGAAAGGCCTTGTGGGCCTTGGAGTGATTGGGCCACGATTTGAGGGATCTGGCAAACAAAGAACAAACGCATATTTCTATGGGTGCCGATTGCAAGTAGTGTGTAAATGTAAGGATATTCAAATTATTGCCCTCCTGAAGCGTGACAACCATTGTTCGATTCTGTCCAATTGTTTCTTCGAGTCTTCGCATCACGTTGTATATAATATATAACTATATAACTATAACATGATCTGCTTTGTATATGATAGGTATCTCAGAACGCTTGTGTCGGTGTGTAGAGTATTTAGATATATATATATGTATATACATATATTTAGATAACTATAAATCATCACGTGCTAATACTAGTGTGTTCATATTTGTATATATATATATATGTAATATAGTGTTTCATGAATCGTCATGATTGATGTGATATGGCCGTTGCCGCTGAAAGTCTTGTGACTGACAATGTGCATTCCGTGACGCAAAGGGATCGAAATGATGAGCACTTCTGCAAAATCAAGAGCATATCAATTCTAAGGCTGAGACTCTCTGGAATTCGGCAGAATCTCAACCAAAGAACTGGAAGGTTTAAGCCAAAGCCTTGGAATGGCGCAAACACAAATGAAAAATGAGCAAACATTGATTCAATGAGTTGGAAAGCTCGACCTTGGGTATGACCGCTACAGAAACAAGATTCAGTGCTGAGAAAATGAATGCTTGAAACATGATTGTGCAAAGGTTTCTGTTGATTCACAAACACATGTCTTGCAACTAAATTGGCCACATTCAGCAGTCGGCCCGACCCAGCAATCAACTTCTAAAGGGTTTTTCACCGATATGGTAGCGCACATGCTGTGAGCAAACATATAAAGTACGAAAGCACAAACACATGACATGACCACACACAGGACAGACAAAATGAGAGGACACATATGCCCCAAGCGCTGCGGGGTCAGGAAATCTGCCACTTCGGGGACCACCCATGTGCCACGAGACTTCAGGCTTGAAACTTTGTATCAGGTTCCTTTCCTAAAAAATCTAGGAACCAACTCATTAGTGCAAGCGCTTCTTCAAGGAAGCTTCCCCCGGCCGCCTTTGGGGCGGCGTGGGAAGCTTCCTTGAAGAAGCGTGAGCTATCCTTAAGTAGCTAGGAGCTTACTCCTTTACTTAATTAAGTAGGAGTGAAACAAGTTTCCATCGGCACGTCGCACAACATTCTGATCTTTGGTCCCGAGGTCGACTTGAGAATGTATTTGAATGTATCTTTTGAACCCCTCGTACCTGCGTGAAAAGTTAGCTCCAAGGTCGAAAATGCGCACAGCACAACAAGAGCCTGGCACCGTCTCACATCTACTGGCACGGAAAGCGGAGCTTTCTCTGTCGACACGCGCAATTCACCACACGCGCATGCAAAGCACCTAGTCTTCAGTCTAGACACCAATCCTTTGCTCGAACTAACCGTACTACCGTAAGAACTACGTTTAAGATACAGTAAGTATTTAAGAGCATTCGACTATCAGTACAGGGGTATCGTTGCCTAGCTTTGCCTGTGTTCTTGTCTTGTGATGCTTTGATGTCAGCAAAAAACAAAGATCAGGCCAATGGCTCGGCTCGATGTCTGCCCAAGCAACTCCGCTCCACTTGGCATAGTATCAGGTAGAACAAAGAGGGCATCACAAAGAGCCACGTCTGCAGCTCTGCTTGCAACCTGCCAAAATTGATGTCAAAGGATGTCAAAGGCATTCCAAGGCATGGTGCTTTCTTCTACAACAAAAGAATGTGTTCTCTGTTGGAGCAGCAAATTTAAGTATACTAAGTCCAATGGTCAAAGGTTTTTAAGTTTTTAACACATTTCATGTCTTCTATTTAAACCCCTTTGAGACACAAAGAGGAAGACTTCATGCAATTATGATGCATCTGGTTGTTCCACTTCAGCTCAGAGCTCCACCTGAATCTGCACCGGTCGCCCGCCGAGTTCGCAAAGTTCCAGGAGCTTGAGTTGGTTCTCATGAAGAGCATTGCTTGAGAGGCAAACCTGGCTTCAGGTCCACCCACAGAAAGGATCACAAGTTCGTTTACAGAGAGACGCTGTGACGATTGAAGTATCGAATGTATCGCCTTCATACCGCAAAAATGGGGACAAAGTCAATGGAAGTCGTGGCCAGCCTGTGCTGTTGCCCGCGTTGCTCTTCCACTCTGTACAAGGTGATTCTGCCGGAAATTCTCCACCTGCGTAATAGCCAACAACATCCAAAAACTAAGGAAGGCGAGGTTCGCCGGTTCACCATCGACAGGTATGCATGCCAAGACACAAGTGCGTATATACATCTTTTATCCAGTTCTATCCTATCTATCCACTAGCCTGTCATTTGATACCTGTGAAATGACTTATGACTTCAAATTGTGCACAGCCAAAAGGTGTTTCCGAGTCTCCCCTCAGGTTTTGATCCAAGAATCAAATCGCAGTACAAGACGGCCCTCATGCGTGTTGCAGCGAAAGGGCTGAGCCCAGGCATAGTCCCATGGCTCACCAGTGAGCACTGCAACAGTCTGAAAGCAACGTACCTGAAGGCAAAGGCACAAATTCAGAAGGCATCACAAGGCAAAAGAAAAGCCGGCTTTGAATCCCCAAGTTTTGAAACGCCTGGGCCTGGCTGTCATTGGCAAGTAAACCGGAAACTGGGTCAAGGTCCTGAGACGACCATGAGTTTGCAATACTTGCCCCTAGTAGCGATGCCAGGAGCCCCTAGTAGCGTCCTTGCTCCTAGTAGTATGGCCAGGAGCCCCTAGTAGCTTCTTGTTACTAGCAAGACAGCCTAAGATAAGATGTCATGAAAGCTCTTGAGAAGCTTCATTTCACGTGGCATGGCTTTGTAGTGACAACAGTCTCGGATTCACGTATATTATGTCAGTAAAGTATGATAGAATATAACACCTGTATGAATAGGCACCACGCTGGAACATGCCAAGCACATTGAGGCAAGCTTCTCTGGATGGCTGCCAAATCTGAATGTCTTCGGGTGGCTTTCGCAAGACTTTCCGCGTGATAAATGCAGCGAATTCCCTGGCCATATCATCCCACACGGAACCCTTTGCGTGCTTTGAACCTTGGCAAAACATTGCAAAACAAACGAATTCTGGACCTTTGTGTGACTCGCTCTTCGTATGTCTGATCAAGGCTTGTTGCAGCCCTGTGCTGCTGCACCTATATATCTAAAACTATGCTGCTCCTCGTATCTGTTGTCATGGTCAAGTTCTGCCGAGCTTCCTGGCGGCAAAGCCAAAAGGATTTTCTCGGCTGATAAATTTCCTCGTGCACATGCTTCTCTCCACGTCTGAACATCTTGCAGGAAAGGTTGCAAGAGTGCATTTGCGTCCTCAAGGGCTTGGCGGGTGTGAGCAGCACTTCCATAAGATCCGAGTGGTGATTCTGATTGGCTCATTCATGCAACTGTCGAATGCGTTCTTCAGAGACAAAGAGAGAGAGAGAGAGATCAAAACTGATCAAACATACGACAAGTTAATATGCAAAACTTGTTTGTGCCCAAATAAGCATGCATAAGAAGATGTAGGCTTGCGAAGCCACGAAGCTGCAAGATTTCGACTACGTCAAGTCAAACTGACATACCAGCATTGCATGTTAGGGATTTACAATAATTTATATACATTAAATTACATTAATATACATACCTTTCCCTGCACCGTATCGCAGGGGATTCTGAAAATATTAATACTCGGTGGCCTTTGGTGTTGAATGTGCTGAGACACAGCCTCCCTCTCAGAGCGGCGGATGAAAGATGGGCGTGTTGGAAGGACGTTGAAAAGGCAAAGATCAAGGGGTGGTTTGGTGTTTGGTGAATTGTGTAGACTCAAGTCTTCACGAGAACACGTAGACTGAAGATTTGCGTGCGCTGGGAGAGTTTTTTTGGGGTTGCATAACTTGCTGTACTGTGTCCTGAGTATGATAAGAGCTAGTGAGGCTTCGAATTGCAAATGTTTTGGAGTCTGTTAAAGCAAAGAATGCTTGAGGAAGCAGCCACACGGGATGTAAAAATGATTCGAGCAAACTATTGGAGAAGGTTATAATTTCACAGAAATCACACACGGATTCGAGCCAGGGTCTGGCACCAATGCATTGTCATTACTCAAGTAGAAGTTAGAAGTACAAGTTTAGTAACTTAGACTACCTTGATCTACCTTGCGTGGTCGCCTATGCATACAAGGAATTCAGTGAGTGGTTCTCCCTCACCACATTCCCTTACCGCTCCTCCCGTCCTTCTTGCAGTGTTTGTTTTGCATCTTGACACACACAAGAATGATCAAGAATGCATATCGTAGCTGTCAAATCAGACTTGTTTGAGAGCCTACTGCTTCAGTCCAGGTTTACGGTTTCCAACACTTTACAGCAAGTCTCTGTGTTCGGACGTGGAAACTGTGGCCCTGTTCCTTCTGTCCCAATCTCTGGTAGTGGACACACACCTATACAGAGCAATGTTGTAACACTTGGAGATTATGGACCAAGCACATTAGCATCAAAGTTCTTCTGTAGAATCTTCAGTTTCGCCTCATCCAGGATTGTCTGCACGGCACTTGGATCATGCTGCATATCAAAGAGAGTCAAACCCACCTGAGGATGGCATCATCCAACGACGGCAACAAAATGCATGATGGCAACACGGAAGCTACGTGTTCCCTCAATGCTAACTACACAAGCTAAAAAGGGATAAAACTTGCCCGCCGTCAAGCCCGCCAAACGCAAACTGTCAATGTGATTGTTGTTTCCCTTCGGTCGGCTGCATGTTTTTTTGCATGCTTATGCATCTTGCGAGTGTGTAGCGCTTGTTGGACCAAAGCCTGATGCTCGTGATGGTCGACTCGCATGTAGCTGAAGGGTGTCTCTTCTACGCTAGCATTCTGCCTGCGTTGAGATGCGGTGTCTGCAATACAAATGGTTCATTGTTGAGCATGTCAGTGATTACAATTGAATTACTGTAGATGAGATTCCCAAGTGAAATATCACTGATAACTGATAACTGCCACTGTGCGGCAAACTGTAACAGCCCTTGGATGCTGAGAAGACCCACTAAGGCCAAGAAAAGGGGAAGCCGAGAAAACATTCCATGGAATCAATGAGAGGCGGCCTCAGCAGCCGAAGCTTGCTGCACAAGTGAAGCTAATATTATTGAAAAAGTTTTTAAAAAAAATCTATACTAGACGACGGTTGGCCCGAGAGCGAGACATGTAATTGTCCAGCACTGTCGAAAAGATGTATAGAAAGAGAGAAAGAGAGGGTGGATGTGAAGGAGTGACAGTGTGGATGTGCAGGTGCGATATAGATCTGTAGATGTATGGAGGTGGAGAGGTAGGTCTGTGGATGTGAGCGTGCGAAGATGTAAATGCACAGAGACGAGAGAAAAGATATGTAGAAAGAAAGAAAGAAAGACAGGACAGATGTGAAGGAGCGACAGTGTGGATGTACAGATGTGATATAGATGTGCAGATGTGTGGGTGTGGTGAGGTGGAGAGGTAGATCTGCGGATGTGAGCGTGTGAAGATGTAAATGTAGAGAGGTGAGGGGGTGTACAGTGTGGACGTAGATGCGTCGATGCAACGGCAGCGCAACGTCAACCTTAGTTGTGCAAGTACAACGCTGAAGAGGTTCAGATAGAACTGAAGAACGTACATTTCACACTGACGTTTCCACGAACAGGGCGACCTGAGAGTAAACGACGTCACGATCATGACAAGCGACTCGTGCATTCCAAGCGAACATCGTTTGTCATGAAGGTGAAGTACATACATACTAACGTCACGATGACTCTTTTGTAGCAGCCGCTTATGAGTAAGCAAAGTAGCTAAAATTTGTCAACCTCTCAAGAGAGCCGGGTGGTCGGAAGACATGACTCAGTTGCAGGGGCGCCAGAGCAGCCGCGAGAGATGACTCAGCCGCGAGAGATGACTCATCCGCGTACTAAAGTTGTACTACAAAGTCGCCAGTTCTCAGCTTCCAGCTCCACAGCTTGCTCCGCGCACTAGAGTTGCACTACAAAGTCGCCAGTTCTCATCTTCCAGCTCCCCAGATACTCCGCGTACTAAAGTTGCACTACAACTTCGCCAGTTCTCATCTTCCAGCTCCCCAGATACTCCGCGTACTAAAGTTGTACTACAAAGTCGCCAGTTCTCAGCTTCCAGCTCCACAGATTGCTCCGCGTACTAAAGTTGTACTACAAAGTCGCCAGTTCTCATCTTCCAGCTCCCCAGATACTCCGCGTACTGAAGTTGTACTACAAAGTCGCCAGTTCTCATCTTCCAGCTCCCCAGATACTCCGCGTACTCAAGTTGTACTACAAAGTCGACACGCACGATCTCCGCAGAGGGTTGCGCCGGACCGGGCCAAACATCCTAACGGTCCGTTCTAATGGTCCTAACTAACACCAACACTGAGGCGACTCAAGAGTTACGCAAGCGACCGATCAAGCACCTACTACCTAGAACCTAGTAGACGCAGAATATCACAGAATGAATAGACTAATTTAGACCAATGCAACTCACGAGGAATATCTTGCAAATGTTCGACGTTGTGTGTGTTTCAAAGCTCTCTTCACTTGCCAGGACTAAATACGTTGGGACTCCATTTGACACCACATTGCAATGAATGGAAAGGGTGCCAGAAACAAGAACTTGCTTTCAGTCTACTGTATACTGTAGCTATCCGTAGCTTCCAGCTACATCCAGCTTACGATGCTTACGGGCCTGCTACGTCTCAATAGATGGATGAGGTTCAAGTTCGGAGTGCCATCGCAGTCCGGTCTTCGCTTTCCTTTGAGAAGAGAAGGAGCTTTCCTTTTTTGCCTAAGTCTCTGTGCCACTCTGTCCGACTCGCATTTAGCCACCGGCAAACTTTTGTTTTCGTTTTCGACGAGAAAGCCTAAACTAAACTAAACGGATCTGTTCGCTCAAAAATGCTGGTGGCTTTGGCCTGGATGAATGACATTGTCGATCTACTATCACCACTTGGATTGTCCTCACCCTACTGCTCAGTAAGAAAAAGTGTGCGGATGTCGATGGAACTCCGTCCTAGAACCGGCAATTCTGTCTGAATCCCTGAAGCGCCGTGAAGCAGCCAAGGTTGCGCTTGCCCTGTCCTCTCGATGTGGACATCTGCCTCTGGGAAGCAAAACGACTTTGCAATACTTCACCAATGCCACTTTTGCATTAGAATTCTGTGCAATCGTTTAGGAAAGAATGGTCACAGGCTAAAGATGGATAAAGGGCAGCGCCTTCCCACCAATACTTGCGAGGGCATCCCGGCGCCGTCCATTCTCCAAGCATTCCACATTGAAAACCGTGAAGACCTCAGAGTTGCGGGGAAACATGCAGACCACGTGGCACTGCAGATGCACAGAATCGAGGGCGTAAACCGCAAGGATCTGCGAAGGCATTGAGTCTCAAACGAAGCATTGCGCGACGAGCACTACTCGTGGCATGGAAATAGAGTTTTGCAGCCCACTGTGAGCTGAGCCATAGTGACTGCGCTCTGCACATGACAGTAATGTGAACACATCTTTTGCATTCTTTTGCTGTGGATGAACCAATAGTTACCTACTACCTGATTGGCCTATACACACACTGTGAAGACTTGTTTAAAGCCTTTGGAGTGCGCGCCTGAACTGAAGTGAGCACGGGGCCTGAGCTCTCAGTGATATGGCAGCTGGCAAATGGTCAGAATGCTTTCATCGTTGAGATGTGGACTTTCTTTCGGAGTATCGAGCCTTGCAACTGGACGCGTTGTCATATTACATTATGCACATATATATATATATCATTCGTATATGTGGTATCATTGACAACGACTCCAAGAACCTGTGATGCAACTAATGAACGCCTCATTTGCTCGAAGACTGCTCAAGAATCGACGAGTTGCCCACTCCTGCATCAAACGAAGTAGATTGAAATAACCTGCAAGGAACTACTAGGGGCTCCTGGCATCGCTACTAGGAGCAAGGACGCTACTAGGGGCTCCTGGCATCGCTACTAGTAACAAGAAGCTACTAGTAACAAAATGGTGGAGCTGTGGAGCTCACAGAAAACGCTGATGCATAGCTGCATTCAACAAGGGCGTTATCCTCCAGCTTGCTTGGCCAAGTTTCTCGTATATAAAGTCTTTTTTGGGCTGACACTGCGTGTTGTCAAATAAAATCAATTACTGTAAGTGTAATAGGATATCAACTTTGCTCTATGCCATGAATAGAGATCCCAGGTCTCCAGAACTAAAACGTTAAACGTGTCCAGCTTTCCTGTACCCGCTAGCCACTGGCCTTTCTGCTGCCCATTGTGCCGTTTGGCCTTAAATATATATTGTTTAAAAAAAATACCTCTATGAGAAGGTACTTTTTCTCAAATGGAACATTCTATATCTCCAGAAACTGTGGAGCTCGCTTTTGCTGGATCAACAAAGGCGGACCAAAAGATAAATCCTGATGCACTCCGCCTTCTTTTCCAAACTCTCTGAGGACTGCAGAAAAGGTCTGAATACAAAATGATAAAGATGTGAGAGTCAAATGAGAAACAAGGAGGGGAGAGGGAGGGAGGATGTCAATCTCATGCACGGGGGTGACAATTGAGGTCAATGCTTTAGTCAGGTCAAAGCCTTCAGGTCAACAAACTTTATATAGTCAAAGAGGCCATCAAAATCCCTGCGTCCTCATCCTTGCCTTGCTCTTATTCTATGTCTCTCCACCACAGCAAGCAGCTGGCACTACGAAAGAAGTGTGTTGTTGTCAAGATGTTTGCTTCAATGCTCCCTTCGCGAAATTTGTTTGGCATTGAAGATTGACTTGTTTTTGTGCACTTAAAGTCCCAAAAAATCAAAGCCGCGAAGAGGAAAGCTGAATGGCTTCCGACTTACGCCGATGCCACCGACCACACTCATATGTCATATCATGTCATATCCCCTCCAATGCTGTCCCTCATGTGGTCCAACGGGCTGCCCTTGCTGTTCAAGAATATAAGCAATTGGGTAATTGGGTACCCCGACTGCCGACTGTTTGACCAAGAACAGCGACGGCTGTGCAACAAGCATTTAAAGGGGTCTGTCAAGCGTACTATTATACTCTGGTCCTCCAGTGCTGCGCCTGAGGACGGGGGTTGGTCATCAACCTTCCAGCAAATTTGCTTGACAAAATGTATCCGAACATGTTCAATGTTCAAGTATTCTAGGCTTGGGTCGAATCCTCGTACTTTATATGGAAGGAAAAGTGCCTCACTGAATGACTTCGCTGAAAGCGATACCAGGGTAGGTCTTGCACCTCATCGACTTTGTCTTGCGCTCGACAAGGTTGATTCTAGGTGTCTCATAGAAGTAGGTGCCGAGCACTGAATTGGGGATGCATGCTTAGGCTGCTTAGGCCCAGGTCTGGGTTTGACGAGGTCCGACCTTGGATACAAGCTCAGAGTAAAACTCTCACAAACAACTGCAGTCGTTTGCATTTCAACTAGGGTGCTGTTAAATAGGATGTTCTCGGTGAGACTAGTTGCTGTGTTTGAAGAGGATGAGGGTTGACAGGCATGTCCAGAAGAACTTCAGAAAAAAGAGTATTCACAAATATTCCATAATATTCCCAACAGTGGACTCCGCAATTATGAAGTTGCTTACTCCATCTTACTCCAAATAATTTAGGCTCTCTCAACTTCAGGCTATGTTCAACCCTGTCCAGGCCTGCACTTGGCCCTGGCCCTGCAACATGCTGCTCAATCCTTTCTGGCCAATTGTCATTGTTTTCGGGGGACAAAGAGTGTATAAGCCAAGGATTGGACGTGCTTGTAGCACTTGCTTGCTCAGAAAAAGGACATCCTTGTTCAATGTTCATTGGTCTGATGCAAGCGATTCAGCTCAGTGGTGCTGACATTTGCTGTTCTGCAATTTTTTTTATCCGTGACATGACGGGCACCTGCCCCATCCCGGCTCAATCTTGCTTGAACAAACGAAGAATTTAAAACTGGTGTTTAACTAAAAATTGTTTCAATAGGAGCTCCCAAGAAGCTTCCTTGAAGAACTCCAGCTACTATATCTATAAACTACTAACTTAACTAAATAGCAACCTAATACCAATGTTATTGTTATTGTATATAAATATTAGTCATACCATGTCATACCTTTGACACCGCATGCTGGGACAAAACCCACATGCTACCACGCAAAAAAAGAGATCGTGCACATCCTTGCACACTTTGATTTCTTCCTGCACCTTTCGGAAGAACTTGAGGTCTTGCTACATGCAGCTAAAGCAAGACATTCGGCCTTGATGATCAATGCTGCCCCAGATGTTGTTTGGTCACTATTCCGACATGAGACACAGAAAGGAATGCAAGAAGCTCTGTAAATGGGTGCAAGGCATGACGGACAGAAACGCAGACCCTCCTGGCTTTCTCGATGCCGATACGACAGCATTCATTCAAGCTTGACCTGCGCACTAGAAAGCTGCCATCGGGAAAGCACCGTTACAATGCATCCGTTGGGACCACATGGTCGCACAGGTTAACGTCTGGCATCGAGCCATTCACTACCCCCTGAACACCAGTTTTCTCTGACTGGGTTGAGGACCTGCGAAACACGCAGGACGAACGGCTTCTACAAGCACTTGAGATGATTGATACTTGGCTTGTCGAGGCAGAACGCGAGGTTCTGCCAGAAAACGATCTACAATCTACACAAAGCCGGGCATGACAAATGCACTAGAAGATTTGTTCAGATCCAGCAGCAACCTTGCCCAATTTGAGAACACCGACCAGACGCCGAACAGGCAACGCACAATCGGCCTTGGAAACACTGAGCATTCCGGAAGGAACGTTGCTTTTGGTGGTTTCGTTGAACATTGCCGTGTCGCGAGACAAGTGCAACCTCCTGTGCCCAAAGCAGCAAAGCAAATGGATGCGATTGGCTGCTGAAGGTGCCATTGCAGGGATGATCGCGGGGCCACCCTGCGAGAAATGGACCGTGGCACGAGAGAGCTCGAAAAGAGGTTTGGGGACTACCTGACTTAACAAAGTTCATGGGCTTTTCGCATGATCCTTCTGGACCACAAAGGCCATGAGATGGTTTTGTGAAACCAATTTATTGTTCACTTTCTTGACCCAAGAAGAAAGGGAGTTTTTGCCACCTTGATAGCAGGCATACAGTAGACAAAGAGACTGCACAGCAATTAGAGATCGTAGCATTGGCCTCGGAAGCAAAGGGTGGAAGACCAGCAGTTTGAATGAATATCCACCACCCCTGTGTTCTTTGATTGCCGGTTTCTTTAACACGACTTGGGTGGACAAACACTGTCACCTACCGGTCCAGCATTATGACGAGGTGGCATGCTGGGTCAAAGACCCAGTGGTCACTGAAGAGAACAGTCGTGAGTTGTTTGGACCGGACTTCGACCCTGCTGAATGCCTTAATCAATAAGAATCCATGGCAAAGGCACTGCGTTTCACTGCACCGTGCGCAAGTGAAAGCGACAGTAGTTGCATGTCATACATCATTATTTATGTAACTGTTTATCTGCTTGTCTGTCTATAGCTACAGGGCCTGCAGTGGCCTAACCCAGCCTGACAAAGACTTTGGCGTGGTTTAATTATGGAAGAGTCATTAGTCTTGCAGTGTAACTCATCTAGATGAAAAAACAAAACACACTATGATCTAGATTTAGGAACTCAATTGCAGCTCTTGAGCCAGGGTATGTGTGCTATACAAGTACGATCAGCATACAAACTCCTTGGTTGGACTTTGTAGGCCCAAGATTGCCTAAGGCCAAAGCAGCTTCACCCTCAAAGTTGGCATGGACTCGCTGGAGCACTCCAGCAAGGCAGCTGAGGCCTTGGATCAAAGGAGACACGATTCTGTGACACGAGTCGTGCGACAAGAAGTCCACAAAATGCCTAGTAGCAATGGCCTCCAACCTAGAAGGTCTCCAACTCAGTAGGAATGGCCTCCAACATAATAGCAATCCAACATAGTAGCAATGGCCTCCAACCTAGAAGCGATGGCCTCCAAACTACTAGCCACTGCCTCCAACCTAGAAGCGATTGATGGCCTCCAACCTACTAGCCATGGCCTCCTACCTAGAAGCGATGGCCTCCAACCTATTAGCCATGGCCTCCTACCTAGAAGCGGTGGCCTCAAACCTACTAGCGATGGCCTCCCAATAGCAATGGCCTCCAACCTAATAGCTATGGCCCCCAACCTAGAAGCGTTGTTCTCCAACCTACTAGCCACGGCCTCCAACCTAGAAGGCCTCCAACCTAGAAGCGATGGTCTCCAACCTACAGCCATGGCCTCCAACCTAGAAGCGATGGCCTCCAACCTACTAGCCA